TGTTTTTAGACAACTGTTTAAGAACCATTTGAACTCATTGCATTGCTGTTAGTGGGCAAACAATGAAAGCAGTGCTCTGATTGTGGTTAGAAAGCATTTAAGCTGGCTGCAAGGACCAACACAGGGGCTGTGCAGTGTTAAGGTGCCAGCTGCAGACTGACAACAGTATATTAAACCCCCCCCCCCAAAAAAAATGCAAATTTGCCTATTGGTTGAAGTCTATGTAAGTCACTCTTTCAGGAGCAGTGCTAAAAATAGCTCGAACGTAGCCAAAGGCTTGTTTAAAAAAAAAAAAACATCGAGGTCTTGCTTCGTGTCTCTCAACAGTAGGTCCAGTATCAAAGCCAGAACCTGTTTAGATTCGGGCGGCCAGCCGGTCATGTGGGGGAGACGGCAAGGTCGTCTGGGTTATGGAGTGAATCCAGTGGAGATGCAGCAGTTTGTGGCTCTGCGCAGTTTGTTTGTTGTCAGCCGGGTCCATCTGGTGGGCGGCAGAAGGATTGCTCATGTGGAGACGTTAATGGTACATGTTCTTGTTGTAACTCTCACCTTCATCTGTTATGCTCAAGTTACCCCTTGAGCCATCTCGTGACACACTTTCCCACCGTGTTCAGTCCGGAAGAGAGGAAATGTTTAATATCCAACGGCCAATGACACCCCCCCCCCCCCCCCAGCTTTTTTTTTTTTTTTAACTTTAACTACCTCTGCTCTTTAGCTAATGAATTAAGCTAGGCTATGACATTTAATTTAGCTTTCCTTAAGTGTACCCACCTTGTTTATTTACCAGGACACACAGCAGTGTGTATCACCGTGTATGACCGACACAGCCCACCCGCGGTGCTCATCAGTTCACACCGGAGCGTGTGGAACTCAAGCCCCCGGCCGCTCTCCGAAGAATAGCGGTCGTTAAATATTCATCCTCCGTTCCCGGTGGCACACTTGTCCTCCCTACTGACCGACCCCTGCTGCTCCGAACCCCGCCAGAGGAGCAGCCGAGGTGGGAAGCTGTGTGTAGTTATGATTACGAAAACGTAAACGGGATTTGCATCAGTTGAGGATAGTTTTTCATTTTTGTCTTTTTCCTTGTCTTTTATTTTAGGAAGAGGATGGGGAGACTTGCCTACGGTGCTCCAGTGACTTGAATGACTGTAGAGGTTGGGTGTGAAGAGGTAGGTAGTGTTTTAGGTGATGCATCCACCCTCCTTCCCTCCCCTTATGCCCACACACAAGCTCTACTAGAGACTACCCGTCCTGCAGACTGGTTAGTTTTCTTTTCTCCTGCAAGGTAAATGTTCCTTGAATTTGACTGGCTTATGATGCATCTCTTTGCCACAAGACTGTACAAAATCATGAAAAGCGATGGTTAGGCAATTGCTATGTGTTGCACAAACCTTATAGTTGCTGCAGGCCTGTACACCTACCTGATGAACCCAACTCCAAACTATTAGGAGCGCTGCAGGTGTAATACTGCTCCACTAGATAGCAGCAGATTACTGAGTGTGTGTGTGTGTGTGTGTGTGAGCGTGCGCGTGTGAGAAGTGAAGTGACAAAGGTTTACTGCTCTTCCTCAGGACCTGAATGCTTTTGATGAGCCTCATCAAGTCCATCTCTGTCATAAGTCTGCTTTTCTCTCCTGGGCATGTATCCCAGTTTCTCTATGTTGTCTCTTCTCTACAAATTCTATCAAAAGATGGAGGACCACCTGCCAGCAGCGACTGGCTGCAACTCAGAGCTTTTCACGTTTGATAGGGTCTTTTCATTCTGCTTCAAAGGAAGATGTACGGTTAGAGACAAACCGTGGGAAATCCGGGAAGAAATACTCTTTCATCACGCACTTCGTCTTTTTAATGCACACGTGCACCCACTCAAAGACATAACTCTGCCCGAGCACGCCGTGCACACATGCACACACGTGCACATGTTCTCTTTGCTGTTTGGTAATGATCAGATAGACTTACACACCAAGACCAAAAGATCAGGATCTGGCAACCCAACACCTATACTCTGAAACAAGACAGATCTGGCAATCTGACCCCTTCCCTCAGGAAGAGGAATAATTTGGTTGATGGCACTAATAATCACAGCCCTGTTACTGATCCTTCACTGGCTGCGTGTGTGTATGTGTGTGTGTGTTCTTGAGTCATTCCTCTGTTATTGATACCTAGAGGGAAGACGTCATCTATCGAACAAGTGGGTGTTCCTCCTGCCTCTGCTTCTTCTCCTGCTGTTACGTATGTGGAAGTGGGTTGGTGGCTGCCTGCATTGCTCACATAGATACTGTTTTGATATAATATTTCTTAGAAAGATGCGTCACTCATCTTAACTCACACACACACATACACACAGAGCTGACAGTATATGTTACTCTGGAAAAAGAGAAGGAGCAGATTTAAGATCAGATAGCATCTACGTGACTTCTCTCATGCACAACCATACATACAATACACAACTGATATAGATATTTGAAGTTGTTAATTATTGGCCTTTTTTTTTGGATTTGATTGCATCTAACTGCTAATCAGGCTTATCGCCTGCATCCTGTCTCTCTCTCTCTCTCTCTCTCTCTCTCCCTCTCTCTTTCTCTCTGGACCTTTTGTATTATTTATGCCCCGCCCCCTCAGCTGCCCAGAGCTCTCGAGTTTCACCTGTAGAGCCAGATGACAAATTAAGACTCCTTCTACAACCTGCCACAAGGAACTCCTCAAATGCACATATACACATACACATACACACATATATGCACATGAGAACGCACACACTCGTACACACAAACCAGCAGCCCATCTGCCCCTTTCTTTCTTTCACCCTCACACACACACACACACACACACACACACACACACACACACATACACACACACACACACACACACACACACACACTATCTATCCATCACACACTCTGAGGAGGGCAGTGTGAACAGAGTGCTGTGTTGAGTGAGGGAATGTGTTGTTGTGAGCAACAGAAGACGGAGTAGGTCAGAAGAGGAAGCTGAGTGTGACCTACAGACTTTGTCTTGGAGTTTTTTTTTTTGTTTTGCTTTTTTTTTTTTAAACTGCTAAAGAAGAGACCTCCAGCAAGGACACAACATATTTGAAGACCACAGAGATCCTGGCGACCACCACACTCGCTCTTTTGAACTGTTTGTCACTGAATGTGGAGGTGACTATCATGGAAAACTGTCTTGATGAATGAGTGTGTTGGCACTGCCTCAGGAGTCTCTCATTAACTAAAGATTGGACCATAGAGGGGATAGAGCTTGAACTGGATTTGTGTTTTTGTGTTGTTGTGTGTATCCAGTTTTACAGAAAGCAAATGCCGCAGGGATCATATTGTGTGGAAATTAGTAAAACCAACACAGTTAAAATCTCTTTTGTAATAATTTGCAGTGAGGTTAAACTTCATACAGTTGATGCAACTCATACATTCAGAATTAGATTTAAAGAATGTGTTTATAGTTCTGACAGTTTGAACATTTGACCTTACACCTCCCAGTGCCTTTTGACATCTCTAGGTAGACATTAACAATGTCTAGATAGGGGTTGTATATCTCCATTTAGGAGTCAGAACCTTCTCAGATTGGAGAGTTCTGGCTATTGTGCACAAATAGAAAGATAGAGCTCCAGAGAAGGGTTTGGAAAGGTGTTTGAGATCTGCGGGTAGGGTTTAAAAATATCTGAACAGGTTCAAGAGATCACTGGGTAGGGCTTGGTAGAGAAATGATTAGGGGTATGAGACATCAGGGTTAGAGTTGACGAGAGTGAGAGTAGTGGCTATAACTGATGTGTATAAGACAGTTTGTGGTGCTAAGACATTAACACTGATTCGGAAAATACAGTGTTGCTCAGTTCCTGAACGGGGCAATAATATCACGATCACAGTTTATTTAACTACCTGATTTTGTTAGTGTGTGTGTGTGTGTGTGTGTGTGTGTGTGTGTGTGTGTGTGTGTGTGTGTGTGTGTTTAGAGAAAAAGACGGCTGATATTTAGCTATGTATGTCTGGACAGGAGCCTTCATGGGGACCAGATTCGAACAGAGTAGAACTGCTTTGGCCAGGTGGACCTGTCCTCACACAGATAGTGAACCTGCATATAGTGCCGGCACAGAGTCAACCCGACATATCTAAACCAAGGAATCTTTTAAAGGTCAGACTTCTGATCATATTTTCTTAACATATCACATTATATTTTCTTTGTGTTAAACTTAGAACTTAGAAAAAATAAAAATCCAAACAGAGTGTAAGTAACATTTGTGTGTTTGTGTGTTTGAAGGTTTACAGCATTGCCTGAAGAAAGGGCATGGTGTGCTCTTAGCCACTTGTCAAAATGCCCAGCAAGAAAGACCCCAAGAAGGACGCAAAGAAGGGTGGAAAACCTGTACCAGAGAAAAAGAAAGAGGAGGAAAAGAAAGGGAAAGATGACAAAAAGGGAGGAAAAGATGACAAGAAAGCCAGTAAGGATGATAAGAAAGGTGGAAAGGATGATAAGAAAGGGGGGAAGGATGATAAGAAAGGTGGAAAAGATGATAAGAAAGGGGGGAAGAAGGGAAAAGAGGAGCCCTCTAAGGGTAAAGATGATGGAAAGAAAGGAAAAGACAAAGGAAAAGGTAAGAAAGTGGAGGAAGAGGAGGAAGAGGAGGAGCTCCTCAGTGATGAGGAAGAGGATGAAGAGTTAAGTGAAGAACTGGATGATGAGGAGGAATACTCAGAAGATGACAGGAGAGGGAGGGGGCGAGGAGGCAAAGGGGTGAAGGGAAAGAAAGGGGGGAAGTCTAGACGTGGCGAAGAGTCAGAGGAAGAGGAGGAGGAGGATGAAGAGGAAGAAGATGAGTATGACGAGGATGAGGAGGATTACAGCAAATCCAAAAAGAAATCTAAAGATGACCGCCACCATAAAGGAGGGAAATCTGATGCTGATGCAAAGAAGAAGAAAGGCAAAAAGAAAGAGGAAGCTCCACCACTTCCAGTAAGGGAAATCCCAAGGAAAGGTCTGAAGAACATGTCCAGGATGTTCATGAAGTTTTCTGGTTTCAAACGACGCAGGAACAGCAGGAAGAAGCTGAAAAGTACATCGCGTTTGTTCCTGAGGTTGGGGAAGAGAAAGAACCGACTTGCTAAGAAGAAACGCCGGAAGTCCATTCTGAAGAACACCTCTCGATTCATGATGAGGTTTAAGATCAGCAAAAAGAAGAAAAAGGAGAAAGAGGCCAGAGAGAAAGCGGCAGCAAATGCTGGTAAGAAGCCAACCTATATGCTGCTTCGTCTGGGGGGAGGGAGACAATCAATTGAGAAGAAAGGGGGCTTCTTCAAAGGCTTATTTCGAAAAAAGGATGGTGACGGGCCTACTGAGGACTTCAAGAACAGAAGTATGTTGCTGGGTAAGGTTGCAGCAGTAACTAACTGGCTGACCAAACGCTTCCTGACAAGTAAAATGCGAGGGAATTCCGGACACCATGGCTGGGGGGGGCGTAGAGCACACAGCCGACAAGCCAGCTCCAGAGGTCACCTCCGTGGTTACCGTAACGATGGCTATGAGCATGGGGAGGAGGCTTACGGATTTGACCACCGACATTCAATCCGCCAGAAAGGTTATGGAGACCATGAAGATGGTTATGGTGGTTATGGAGATGCAGCATATGGAAGCCAGGGTCAGTTTGGTTACTATGACAATGGAACAGGGGGAGCAGACTATCAAGACCTGGGTTACTATGAGGAAGAAGGACTCTATGATCCAAATGCAGAATATTATGAAGGTGGTCTTTACGATGAGGGCACGGGGGACTACTATGACCCGTATTCCTCTGCCCAAGGCTACTATAACGACCAGGAAGCTGATTACTATGGTTACCAGCAACAACAGGCAATGGCAATGTATGGTGACGAGGGTCTAGACTATTATGCACAAAATGGTGAGGACCATATGTATGAAGGAGCGGTAGATGGATTCCTTGACCCTCAGGCTCAGGGTTATTATGATGAAAATGGTCAAGGAGTTTACTATGGTGATGGACAAGGGGATTACTATGACAACGGACAGGGAGGTTATTATGAGACCCCTTATGCAGCAACTATGGGAATGCAAGGGGGATTTCCACCAGACTATCAACTTAGCTATAGCGATGCTGGCATGCTTTACCAAGACTACAGCTCCCAGCAGGCCATTGGATTCCCACCAGGAGGTCAGCAGGTCTTTGGCTTCGGAGGGCAGGGGATGGATCAGGTACAGGGCCTGTATGGGGACCAGTATGCAGGTCAGTTGGATCAATATGGGGATGATACCGGTGGACTTCAGAGAGGGGAGATGACATTCAGAGTTCCTAGACCTCAAGTACGTCTATTTGGGAAAGAGCGTCTGGATGTGCCCCTGCCCCCTCCACCTACTTTGCCACCTGATCCAGAATTTGAAGACATGTCAGAAATCCAGTATGAAAACCAGATTCCTCTTGCACCAGGTCAACCTGGTGACATGATGTCATTACAGCCACAAAGCGCAATGCCACCACAACAACAAATGATGTTTTCTCCTCAAGAACAAATGATGATGGCCCCACAGATGATGTCACCACAGCAACAGATGATGATGCAACAAGAACAGGGTGTGCCCCCCCAAATGATGCCATCACAGATGATGTCACCACAGCAGCAGATGATGATGCAACAAGAACAGGGTATGCCCCCCCAAATGATGCCATCACAGATGATGTCACCACAGCAGCAGATGATGTTACCACAGCAACAGATGATGTCACAACAAATGTTGTCACCACAAGAGCAGATGATGTCACAGCAAATGATGCTACCACAGCAACAAATGATTTCACCACAGGTAATTCTATCTCTGTTTTGTCATTGATTGTGTTTGCTCTTTAGTGTTAGAGGGTAAAATTTCAACCTGACTCCTATTGTAATGTGGGGTTAACATACAGTATTAACATATAAATGTGGAAGACATCCCCACTGTGCTCTGAGAGTACACCCCCACTGCTTTTTAAGTAATCCAACCCTAGAGGGAGACCCACAGCATCTCTGACAACTAAGAAAATGTTCCACCACATCTTTAGCTTTTAAGTAGTGAACTCAAATAATATAATGTAACATAATGAGTGATAGTAGAACTGGAGTGAATAAAAAAAGACATGACATAATTAATAACATAACATAATTAAGTAAGTTTATTTGTGGCTACTCAACAGTTTATTAGTGGATATTCTTCCAGATTAGAAGTGTTGAAACAACGGATATCTCCAGCTATTAACTTGGTTAAATTCTTGCCATCAGCAGGCAGGTAATGTTAAACTTGCTATTTTCCCAAACCACTTATCTATAATAACTGATGTATTATTACATTGCTTGTCGTAAATGGTTAGAGAAACACAGCAGTAGTCTAAATCCTTAATTCCAGTTGACACGCACCACTTTATTTTTGACACAACTCTCCCGCCATCCAGCGGGATCCAACTGCTTGCCAGGGGGTTGGGGAGTAGCAGTTTTCACTAATTATATACTGTTTTTTGCATTTTTCCACATTTAAGATTGGTGTTACATTCACAATAACAAATGTGTCGTTAATAAAAGTATTTTATTGTATTATTATTCTCCATAAGGTGGTTTCATAGTATTCTTATTGGAATACCATGAATTACAGCCTTAAATCTAGTGCTACCCAATTTTCTCCAGATGTAGTGCTTCCTTAACGTCTTTCATTTTGTTATGTTTTTCCAGCAGCAGATGATGACAGATCCAATGATAATGTCACAGCAACAGGGTTATGGCCTGCCGTCAATCCCTACTCCAACTGCCATGATTATTAAGCAAGCAGGTATGTCCCCGCTTGCTGCACGCCGTCTCCAACCCTCTCCAACTCCATCCCGCCGCTCTGTCATGATGCCCTCCCCACAAATGCAACGTCATCCCTCTGCCATGGCATCCCCAGTATCTTCTCCTATGCTTCCTCAGAGACGAAGCCCCTCCCCACAACCATCCATGAGAAATGGGTTCATTAGTGCCCAAAGACCCCCCTCTGTTATGTCGAGACAGATCTCACCTCTCTCTTCCCCCATGGCGTCCCCTCTCGCCCATCGTAGAATGCAACCTCAGAGATCACCGTCTCCTCTGGCCCGAGGACCCTCAGTCCCTCCTTCCCCCCGTGCTTCTATGATGCGGCGAAGTCCTCCACCCTCACCACGAGCATCAATGAGGCAACGTTCTCCACCTTCCTCACCCCGTGCTTCCATGAGGAGGCGAAGTCCCCCATCGTCACCAACTCCTGCTCGCAGCCCGTTTGGAGGGAGACGGATGCGTGGACCGCCCTCACCTTCCTTCTCCCGCGGTCATGCATCTCCCCCTCTGTCTCCACAGCTCAGTAGAAGACCGTCTCCCTCTCCCTCTCCATCTCATCGCAGTTTATCCCCTGCAGGGCCCCGTCCTGCCCCATCATCCCCTACCCTCTCTCGTCGCTCTACTCGGCTGCTCAGGGACCCCACGCCCTTGGCCAGGCCCAGGATGGGGGGAAATGTTCCTTTAGGTGCTGTCAGACCCTCCCCTATGGGTCTCAGAGGGCGTCCAGTGCCCCCTCCCACCCAGAATGTGCGTCCATTCCGTGCCGCCTCTATAAGAAGCAATGCGTCTTCTGTTCTCACAGTGGATTCATCCCTCCCTTCCCCTTTCCATTCCCCTCACATGGTCCACCGTGCTCCCCTGGGGAGGAGAGAATCTGGCCGATTTCCTCCTCGCCCCATCGCTCGAGGACGTCCCCTCATGGCTCAACATTCAATGAGAAGGATGCCTCCTGCTTCTCCACAACCCTCCCTGAAACACATGCCACGTCCTGCATCCCCACGCCTCTCTCCTCGACTCTCTCGTCAGTCCTCCCCCCTCCTGCCCCCTCGAGCTACCCGTCCACCCACATATGCACCAGAAGCATATGTGTCTGGCCCCTATGCTGATCCCAATGCTGAGCAGTTTGTTGTGCCCCCTTCTCCCATGTTATCTGGTGCTTTGCAGAACCAGGCTATCCGTCAGGCCTCTTTCTCTTCACCCCTTGGCCCAGAGGCAGCCCAGGTGGTAGGCATGAGTGAGATGGCCACTGAATATGTAGAACCATATGGTCTTTCATCCCCTACGCTTTCTGGCGCAATGCAAAACCCGGCCATTCGGGATGCGTCTTATGTCCCCCCACTGCAGAGACCAATGTCTCCTTATGAGCAGCCTATGGCCCCTTCGTCTCCCATGCTGTCTGGGGCTCTGCAGAATCAAGCTATACGAGATGCATCCTATGTTTCTCCTTTACAAAGACCACTGTCACCTTATGAGGAGCCTATGCCTCCTTCTTCCCCGATGCTGTCTGGAGCTCTGCAGAATCAGGCAGTGAGGGAAGCATCCTATGTGTCTCCCCTTCAGAGGCCTCAGTCCCCATATGCTTCATCTGTACCTTCTTCCCCAATGCTCTCTGGAGCCATGAGACACGGTCAGGCACTAAGAGGTGTGGCTTCTTATCAGACTCCACAGCTCCGTTCACCATACGGACCGACTGTTGTTACCCCATACGATTATATCTCCGAGCCTGGCCCTGCACCACTGCTCCATGACGCCCTGCAGAACCGATCTGATTTGCACAGTGTTTCATCTTTAAGATCACCGATGATGCAACGCCGTAACCCCTATGCACCAGCTGGACCTCAGCTCCACAGTGCATTACAACAGAACCAAAACCTCCGCCAAGCATCTTATCAGACACCTGTGCAACTCAGACGTTCTCCATACGGCCCCGCACCACCCTCTTCACCAATGTTAGGACAAGCGCTGCAGAATCCACAGGTGATGCAGGCATCGTACCGGCTGCCAGACAGAACCTTGGTGTCACCATATGCAGATCCACGCTCCTCCCCTATGCTCAGCCATGCCTTGCAGAACCAACAAGTTCGTGGAGCATCATACACCTTGCCTGATGGATCAGTTATCAGGGTAGGTATGAAGGAGCATCTCAAAATAACTAGGAAACCTGAGGTGTGTGTTTGTCTACGCACAGTACAACAATAACAAATTGCATGAATTATTACAGTTTCAGTTTTTTCTCTATATCACCCTCCCCCACCCACACAGGACCCTCGAGTCCCCCAGAAGCCCATGTCTCCTAGCCTTTCTAGAGCTATGCAGAACCAGAATCTCAGGACTGCTTCATATACTCTCCCTGATGGCACCATTATAGACCCTCGACAGCAAGTAACCCACGACTCTTGATCCTTAACTCTAATTGAATTCACCTTTTGTTGTAATGTACTCTCTTCCCTCTGCCTAGCATATTTCATCAGTCAAAGTAAGTCTGTGCTGTCTCTGCTCATACAGCAACAAATTTCCCCAAGCCTGGCTAAGGCTCTGAACAACCCAGCGCTGCGTGAAGCCTCCTACTCTCTCCCCGATGGCACGATTGTGATTGACCCCAAGAAACAGAAGTCCCCAAACCTGTCAGCAGCACTTCAGAACCCTTACCTGAAGAGTGCTTCGTACACCCTGCCAGATGGCACTATCATCATTGATCCACGGAAACCTGTCTCTCCAAACCTGCAGAGCGCCCTTCAAAACTCTTCCCTGCTGAACGCCTCCCTCACATTACCGGAAGGGATTCAAGATCCCAATACACCCATATCACCAAACCTGGCTAAGGTTAGCTATGGATACAGACTTTTGAGTGGCTTTGCGTGTGTGTTGATCTATTACTGTTTTTTCCCTCCTGATCCATATAGTAATACTTGTGTGTACGGGATTTGAAATAGTTTCCACAAACTGATGTAGCTCTTTGTATTTTCCTAATAATAATTGGTTATCAAACATACTAAGCTGCTGCTTTAATTCAAATTGTATTTCTTTAACCTCTCAGGCTTACCTTAACTGAAACCAGCCTCTCTAATATTTAGGCTCTCAACAACCCAGCCTTGAAAGGAGCTTCCTACACCCTCCCAGATGGAACTATTATAGTGGACCCGAGGAAACCAAAGAGCCCCAACCTGGCAGTCGCCCTGCAGAACCCCTATCTAAAGGGTGTGTCGTACACCCTGCCTGATGGAACAATCATCATCGACCCACGGAAACCGGTTTCCCCTGACCTGTCTACAGTGTGTGCCTGTTAATCTTATTTTAACTTTGCTGCAGTACCTGTGTGTTTTATTGTCTTTCTGTCTTTTTTTTTTTTTTTTCTAACCCAGTGCACGTTTGTTTGAAACATCTTAGCCGTTACTTTTGAATCATACAGTTAAATGACAATGATCTGCCTAATTTAGTGATAATAACCTTGAATAACCTGCAGGCTCTTCTGAATAAGAACCTTCGTAACGCATCATACCAGCTCCCTGATGGTTCCTTGGTTATCCCTGGCCAGAAGCCCTCCACTCCCAACCTCACAGCCGCTCTGAGGCAGAACCAGGTGCTTCGTTCTAAAGGTCTCTTTCACCTGCCAGAAAACTCAGTACTGTCAGGCACACCCAAACCCACCGCTCCCAACCTCGCCTCTGTGCTGCAGAATGAGGAACTCCGTGGTGTCAGTTACAGGTAGGGAACTACGCTATTAATGGAAACTAGGACAGAGAATGACTTCATAGGCTTGTCCAGGTGTTGCACGGAATTACCTGTCAAGGTAGGCAACTGCAAGGTAGGCACGTTAACTTTTTAACAATGGAGAGTGAAATATTTGCCCCTTTTGACCAAAATTTTGACGAACTAAAGGAGAACTAAACTCAGAAACTAATGAAGCATTAAAAAACGTTTGAGATGCAATTTTCACACAGAATTGTCCTGTTGTTTACTGTTATGTGACTCTGATGTTTGAATTAGATGTAATAAATGAATGAATGAAAAGGAGACATGCAGAGGAGATAATGGAAACAGCAAACTCCAGTGTCTGTCTCCAAAGTAGACGATCCTCTGAGGGTTTGATGGTTATGTTTCTCTGCCTTAAAACATAACTGCTGTGAAACTATCCGGAAATAAAGTTTTATTTCTCTTGCTCTCGCATCACTACTCTCTAAAGGCAACAACAAAGGCTGACTTTGTTTTTAAACATCAATAAATGTCCAGCATCCTCCAGAGCACTTCCTTGTTTTGTGAAGGAAGCGGTACACCAGGATGTCTTTGACCAGTCAGCGACCATCAGCCTTGAAAACCCCACCTAAATTCCCTGAACACATATAAAGTATTTTGCTTGGAGCAGGTACCTCTTTTACATCTTGAACTATCAGCCTGGAACTAAATTTAGTTCCTGATTACTCCAGTCGAAAGATTTAGTCTCTGACCTCCTCAAAAGGTTCTTGGTCCCCTGGGAAAATTCCTGTAGTGGAAACACCATTTTTGTAGAAAAGCCACATGAATTGCCAACTATATCAAAAAGACATTTTTCCACAAAAACAATTTCAAAGTCATATTTTTCTCAATGTTGCTGAACTCTGTGTTACACGTTTGTTGCTGAAGAGAACCACTGCTCGCTCCACAGACTGCCGGATGGCTCTCTTCTCACACGTCGGTTCCACAACCCCAGCCTGTCTGATGCCATCCAAAACCAGCAGCTTCGCTACGCCTCATACAGGGTGCCAACGGGCCTAGAGGGCGAGGATAATCGCTACGCTGTGGTTCCTCCCTACGGGCCGCGCTCAGGCCACTGGGCCAGAAATGCCCGAGGAGGAGGGGAGGGAGGAGAGGATGTTTGGGCAGCTGAGAGGGTTTTACCACATGGAACCGTCCAGAATCTGTCAAAGTGGTCCATGTACAGAGAAGATGGGATGTTAGAAGGATATTCACCCACAGCTCGATTTGGGGACGGACAGCCTCAGGACCCAGACTGGACTCCTGACAGAGAGAGAGCACCTGGTCAAAGCTGGTATGACAAGGTAGCTAAAAGTTTTTAATGATTTTTTATGACAGCTGATAAACTGGGATGGGAATGAATGCAATTATTCAAGCAATAACTATAAAGCCCACAGCACTGAGGCTGGATGGCCCACAAAAAATATTTGATATTCAAATGTCTGCATATTTCACATCAGCTCTGCATCAAGCAAGGACAATGTCCCTCAAGCTTTGACGGTGTTTCATGACTGTGTAGGACTAATTGCATACCATTGTGTGTGTGTGTGTGTCCAGATCTTCTCTATCTTAAGCATGACCACAACAAGCCACCGGGTGAAGCGCTGGGCGGAGGGAATGGAGGACATGACACAGCTGCCGTAAGCACAGTGCAGTATTAACAAACAGTCTCACAGCCTGTTCACTCATGTCACTGTCTCACAGAGCTCAGCGTAGAGCAGCAAAGGTCATTTCAGCGCAGATCCATTCAGTTTTTGCAAGCAACAATTTACAGTGTGTGTCCCAGTGTGCCTCCAGGCTTTGATAATCTTTGAATGATCATCACTTCAGATCCTTAGGAAACCCCCTTCATTAGTTATTTGTGTTACTTCAACAACAAAAGTTTGAAAGAAATGATTCCACAAACACTTCTTGACGTAAAAACTTCCTCTGATGTCTGATTTTGACATCATTATCATCAACATCATAATTTTACCAGCTTTCACAGAGGAAGCTCTTGAATGTCACTGAAGGGTAATTAATTTTGGATGTCAAAGCGAGTGTGGGAATCCTGCTCCAGTGAGACAATATGTGCCTTGTGTGTTTAATTTCCTCTGTGTTTGATTTCAGTGAGCTGAATGAGACCACAGTTCTGATGAACCTGAAGAAGCGCTACGACCAGGAACTCCTCTATGTATGCCTAATTTATAATATGCAAATTAAATAACTAATATCATCAAATGTCATGGACACTCTGAACTACATCCATTCATCCACTCTCCTTGTTCTTTATTTCTCTTTTTTTTTCCCACCACACAGACCTACATAGGAAGCATCCTCGTGTCTGTGAATCCCTACAAGTTGCTCAACATTTACGGCACAGACATGGTGCTTCAGTACGAAGGCCGCGGCCTGAGTGACAACCCTCCGTAAGACTCAGGAGTGTGTGTGTGTGTGTGTGTGTTTCTGTGTGTGTGTGTGTGTGTGTGTGTGTGTGTGTGTCAGACCTGTCAGCCCCTGAACTTTACCTCCATTGAAGAGGTCATGTTTTCAGTCTGGTGTGTTTGTCTGTCTTGTCATTCATACGCAGGATGTTTCTAAATGTCTAAGTCTGATTCAGAGAAAGAGCTTTTTTTTGTTGTTATGAAAGATTTCAACTTTGCTAGATAAAACATTTTTGAATCTTTTCACATTTCATGGACGGCTGCACTCACTTGAATAATTTGTCATATCAAACTCATAATGGTCTATTACTATGTATATTTTAAAGAAGAAGAAAGAAAGAAAGAAAGAAAAAGTTATTCAAATAACACATTTAGAGGACTGCACAACTCTGGTAAAATTATGAGCTTTCAAGTTCTGCAGTGGGTAGATTAAACTTAACTCTCTAACCTTTAACTGAGACCTTTGCAACTGCGTATTCCTGCGTGTGATTATACTGTTGTACTACATCTGTCTACATGTGTCGTAAGCTGTGCTCTGAGGTGCAGTATGGTGGTAAATGGAGGTGTAAATGCCAGCACTCTCAGGTGTTAGTAAGAGGTTCCTGTTACACTGCTGTTGGTTGGTTGCCAAGGGAGAGTTTGGTTATGGATTTCACTACCACTTCACATCTACACGCACAGACACACGCTCACACATAACCAATGAGCACCCAGATGCATTTGTTCATTAAAATATGTTATGTTCTGTTGCAGTCATCTTTTCGCCATTGCTAATCTCTCATATACCACCATGATGGATGCCAAAAAGGACCAGTGTATTGTGATCAGGTATGAAAAGCAGTTTAGCATTGTTTTTTATTCAGGCTGAGCGAGGCCTTGAATGAGCTGCTCATTTTAACAAGTATTACTCTAAAGCTCAAAGCCGTCTTTTAAACAGTGAAATGCTGTTTGACTTTTTAAAACACCCATTTTCTCACCCTTTTTTTAAATTTATTTTAAATTTTTTTATCACCATGCCACAACATACCCTTATTGAATAATAAAGCCTCAGGTTAACTGTTTTTGTTATTACAGCGGAGAAAGTGGATCAGGGAAGACTGAAGCTACTAAACTGATCCTGCGTTACCTGACAGCCATACATCACAAACGCAACGTCACACAACAGGTATATTTTCTACCTATAGCTACATACATGCAAATACACTCGTACATGTGGTCATTTGAGCTAACGTCTTTCTCCTCTCTCTTCTTCTCTACCATCTACCATCAGATAGAGGTAAAGTGTCCCTGCTCTTCTTTTGCTCTCATGACAAACAGCATCCCTGTTTTAGATAAGCACGGTAACGCTTCTGTCTATAATGATTGGTCAGATCCTGGAGGCCACGCCCCTGCTGGAGTCTTTTGGGAATGCCAAAACAGTGCGCAATGACAACTCCTCACGCTTTGGCAAATACACGCAGATCTACATGGAGGAGTAAGTAACTACAACTTAACAAGAACTCAGCAAATGTCAACAACAGTTTCCAGTTGTCAAGTTGTTGTCACGGTTTCTGAGTCCAGACAAGTAGAGAATCCAGATGATCTGGAAAGCAGGAATTTCCCTCCCTTCTAGATCATCAGGATCAAATCACATATTGTAACAATTGCCATTTTAGGGAATAAACTTTAAAACCAAATCAAGCATGGTCACAGCCGTTAGTAGGGAGAAAGTCCCACTGAACCTGAGGAAGGTTATTGGGAACAAACACTGCTATTATTAAATTGATTTTCTCATGAAACATTATTTTTATGTGCTGCGTAATATGGTTTTGGAGTTTCCTCCTGTGGGCAACAATTAAAACTTTTTCAAAGTCATTACAAAAGTTAAGATGAAAAAAAAAAGGTAAGCAAGAATTCAGAAAGCAGCTTGTTGACCACAGAGTTGGGACAAAGTAGTTTTTTTATCCAGGATATGTGTAAAAATGCGATGGGATTTTCACCTTTTTTGAATGCCTGGATACAACACTGCAATTGTTTGTTGCTATGGAAATCAATTTACTGAATGTCATGGCACCATTTGCTTTGAAATCTGATCACCATGAGTACAGAGCTTCTGCAGTATCTCTGAGATAAACACAAGCGCTTGTAAAGCTAACAGCCTGTACGTTAGATTAACTCTGAAGAGACTTCTGATCACCCTTGTACAAGTCTTCAGACACACACACACACACACACTCACACACACATACACACACACATAGTGGGCTTAGTGGAGAATATGGTAACATCTCCCAGTAACACCGCTGATCTTCTGTCCAACCTGTGACGGAGAAGATCTGAGCACATTACACATGTATGACCTGTTACTTAACTCGGACTTACTGTGTGTGTGTGTGTGTGTGTGTGTGTGTGTGCGTGTGTGTGTGTGTGTGTGTGTGTACCTGCCTGTGTGTCATTTACCAGGGGTGTAATCAGCGGTGCCATAACGTCTCAGTACCTGTTGGAGAAGTCTCGCATTGTCTTTCAGGTGAAAAACACAAGAAGACACACACACACACACACACACACACACAGCAGGTCAGGTGGAATCCTCTTACACCTGAGTCACTGTGAGAAAGAAGAGATTGTAGGAGCAGACGGCATGAGTGGTGTCAGACATGTTGCTCTTTATCTAACTGTGTCTCCACATAGCCCAGTCTATTCATCAGTCATTCGTCCATTGATCTGTTTATTTATCCATTACTCTCTTTTCTACAGAACTGTTTCCATTTCTGATTTGGGTGTGTTATTTGACCGTGTGTGTGTGTGTGTGTGTGTGTGTGTGTGTGTGTGTGTGTGGTCATCCACAGGCCAAATCAGAGAGGAACTACCACATCTTTTATGAGATGCTGGCTGGTCTTCCTCCTCATGAGAAGCACTCGCTGTATCTGCAGGAAGCTGAGACTTACTACTATCTGAACCAGGTGCTCACACAAATGTGAAATACACTCTACTTCAGACACACACACACACACACACACACACACACACACAGGGCGCAGATAAGGAGTGGTCACTGTAATCAATTTCACGGTCACATTAACAAATGAGATGTCATTTTTTGATAATGTGACATTTATTCCACAGAGTGATTAACGGCAAAAACATAAAACTCATTGCTGAACCCAAATCCAAATGGAGTAACCTTTGCAGCCGAGGTTCTCTGTGCTTTAGGTGTATTGAATGTTGCTCATTTCTTTCCAAAACACTGTATGTGTCATTGCTATTGCTCTTCAGCAGTGGTAGCAAACTGTATGGACTTATGGACTCCTCAAACATGTGAACCCTCATCACATGTTGCATATTAGTTTAACCAGAGATTGAGTGATTTTACCTTATCATACTGTTTCATGTAAGTAATTGTTGATGCCATAGAGCTAAAACATAAAAAAATCAAAGGATGGAGAAAGTTCAACAAATATTGGATGCATTACCATGAAATGTTTGTACAGACATTAATCCTCTGACTTCTTCTTTAGAGCCTCCATGAATTTCATCATCCCCTCAGGATGAATTGTAATAACTTTTGTACCGTTTCATCCAGAGTCATAATCAGCACTTTAGCTTCTGAGCAAATATCTACAGAGATAATGACATTCATTGCAGCCTCAGCTGCATGTGGTGTTTAGTGCTAATTAGCAAATGTGTTAAAATGCTAAACTAAAATGGTGAATATGGGAAACATTATACCAGTTAGGGTGGCTGTACGTTCTAAGTCTTCTTTCTTTACTTTCATCCCATGAATTATCTCGCAACCCCTCAGATTTATGTTGTGTTATTTTGCATTGAGGTTTCTCAGGTTGCTGTTATCACAGTCAAACACAGGACACTGACCCAGAGTTCAAATTGACAAGGGAAAGTTTAATTTACTTAAACTCTGAATGTGAATGTTGAAAGGTTAGTGTTTGTTTTGGCAGGGATCGGGGCGATGACTGGGGCTGTCTTGGTTAGCCGGGGGATGAATTTAACAGACAGGAAGGGGAATGAGGCTGATGGTTTGGCTGGTAGTGAATGAGCAAGAGAGCGAGCTGGTGAAACTGTGGGTCTGGAAGGCTGGAGACTGGCAAGGTGGAGCTGGCTTGTTAAGAGTTTGGCACTCAGATTGATGAGGCAGGCGGGCAGTGATCCTGGACACAAGGGAACAATTGTTAGCGAAGGGAAGCAAAAGTTAGAGGGTATTCCAAGCAGCTTAAGCGTGAGCAACCAGACTGATTGAAACAATTATCTGGCAAAAAGTGGATGAAGAATCAGGGAATTGCTGAATGAGAGAGAGAGAGGCCCTGACTGTGACAGCTCTCACAAGCAAGCAAAGTTTATTTGTATAGCATTTTTCCCAGACACTACTCACAAAGTGCTTCACAATCAAACTGAATAAAATTAAATGAAAGAGTTAAAATCAAACACAACAAATAAAAGCAAAAGTAAAAACACCAGATAAAATATACAAGAGGTATAGGAGACCGATTAAAAGCATAAAATACCACATGCTGCTTAAGAGATGGGTTTTCAGCTGCTTTTTAAAAGAGCTTCAGAGCTTATGACTGGAAGATGCAATCACCCCAGGGTGGAAGACCCAAGAGCTCGGCTTGTGGTGTTGGGGTGAAGGAGAGCTCTGCAGAGAGATTTTCCTATATGGAGACTAACCAAAATTCAGATTTATATTATCTAACTCTCTTGGATTCCTTGACTGCGCGCTCTGGTTGACGGTGTGTTCAGAAGTCTGTTGACCCAATAACCATGTTATGATGTTTACTATGACAGAGTATTGACACACCCTGAAGTACAGTTCTGCATCACTGCAGCCAGGTGAGACCTTAAACCCCTGGATGTGAACAAAAACAAGACTTTCAGCTGTGTGTGTGTGTGTGTGTGTGCATGCGTGCAGGGAGGGGACTGTACCATAGAGGGAAAGGATGATGGGGAGGACTTCAAGCGTCTGCTGTGTGCCATGGACATCCTGTGTTTCACCCCAGAGGAGCAAAACGGCATCTACAGATTGTTGTCCTCTGTCCTTCATCTGGGGAACGTGTACTTCCAGCCACACCAGGTCTCTCTCTCTGTCACACACACACACACACACACACGTACACACACACACACACACACACACACCTACATAAATGCATTTAGTTTCACAGCTGAATGATAATGATAATGATGTTGATCAATGACGGTAATAATGAATGCGTATGCCTTTGTGTGTGTGTGTGTGTGTGCGCGCGTGCGTGCGTGCGTGCGTGCGTGTGTGTGTATATGTGTGCGCGTCCCTGCAGGCTGAGGGTCAGGAAGTCGCGTCAGTGGTGAGCACACAGGAGATCAGGGTTGTCGCTGAGCTGCTGCAGGTCTCACCTGACGGCCTGCAGAAGTCTGTCACCTTCAAACTGACTGTGAGAAGAACACACTTGACATAAAAATGCACACGCACATTAAAGATATAAGAGATTAGATATTATAACAGCTAGAGATGCTGTTTGATCACAGATGTGTTTGACCCCTAGGATACAGTACGGGAGAAGATCTACACTCCGCTCACAGTGGAGAGTGCTGTGGATGCCAGGTGAATTAAAGTCTGAGTGTAGTATCGGTTAAATTCAATAGTACTTACCAACCTGAAATTAAAGCCTGTCTCACAGTCTTGTTTGAGGCTCTTTCATGTCCTCATGATTTTTACTCCTCTCTAAAGTCAAAGCAGGAGATGACAGACAGAAAGTGAACAATCTTTGATATTCTCTTCCAATCTTTGGCAGAGGCATTTGAGGACAAAGGACGTCAGGGCTGGGGGGAAAAAGATTTTTCAGATGTCCTCTGTTTCCATAGGAACCGGGTTTTCTGTTTCCATAGAAACCTTTTTGTGTGTTCTTCATAGAGATGCTGTTGCCAAGATCCTGTACTCGCTGCTGTTCAGTTGGCTGACAGAGCGCATCAACGGACGGGTCTACCCTCGCAGCGAAGCCCTCTCCATCTCCATATTGGACATATATGGATTTGAGGTCACACTGAAGCACAACCTCCATCAATGATGTCGCAGCATTCACGCATCTGAGCTGACCTATGTTAGATAACCCCCATGCAACCCCCGATATCTCTTCTCTTTACCTTCCAGGAGCTACAGGTGAACAGTTTTGAGCAGTTATGCATCAACTACGCCAATGAGACTTTGCAGTTCTACTTTAACAGGGTCATCTTCCAGGAGGAGCAGGTCAGGGAAACCACAAGTTCATATTTTCATACACATTTTTCACAGTTTTCCCAATTAGGCATTATTTGGTGATTTGTGTATCAAAACTTAGTGAGTAACCTGGTGTCTCTGAGCAACGTGATTTCTTGTGTGCATGTAGAGTAAAAATACCGATTAAAATGCTGCTGAAACCAATGTTATATCAAACCTTTAAAAACACTTTTCAACTGGATTTTAGTCAAAATGTCTTGATCTTTTGTTCTGCAGAACACCAAATCAGTGCTTATTGTGTGAGCAACATGTACCCGTAGAGACTTAAACTGGAGCCTTAAAGAGATCTGAACCCATCATCATAATAGCTTCTGATCAAGAGAAAGAAAAGATTCAGAAGTGTTTAAAAAAAGTATTAATGTTTGTTTTCTAACCTGACTCTCATGCAAGCCAGAAAAGCTTTCATGAACCCAAGAGGGCATTAACTCTTACAAACCAGAGTGGACAAAGCAATACTTACAACCAACACTGGAGCTGGAAGAGTTTGATGCACACCAGCCTGATGAACTTTTGTGCCTCATGTGCAGGAGGAGTACATGCGGGAGCAGATCGAGTGGCAGCAGCAGCCTTTCAGCCACAACCAGGCCTGCCTTGACCTCATTGCTGCTAAGCCCCATGGGATACTGCGCATACTGGATGACCAGTGCGGCTTCCCTCAGGTATATTCACACCTGTTGACGTAAACTTCTTAATTGAACCAAAAGGCAGTAATAATTCCTGAATCCGTCAAAAGCCTGTTCTAAATGCACAAAGATCCAATCAGCTGAGAGAGACTGTGGAGCGCAAATGCATTTTAACTGAAGTTAGATTACAAGGCAAGAGACTTTTAAAGTCTTTCATTATTTATTATGAAAAAAAGGCAACAGCCGACAATAATTCATGACTCAAATAATTCATACCTCAGTTTTCTAAAGAAATTGACTTGAAAAAAAACAAAAAAAAAAAAACATCTCACATATTGGATTTCTCATAAACCAGGAGACTGAAGCGTTTTGTAGCCTGCGCCGATCAATACACAACTATCCCACATGCTCACTTAATTGCCTACCTGCTGCTTTCATTATTCCTGCGGCTCCTAATGTAAGAAACTGGCTGAGCTCATATCGAGATAAACATATTATGGAGCGTCTCCGATGCACAAAGTGAAATATGAACACGGTGTTACACGAGTAACTGACTGAGGCAATCTGCTGAACGCACGCAGGCAACATGTGTTTGTGCTGTAGAGATTTAGTTTCCATGGCTCACCAGCCATTAACCGTCTCCAATCATATCGCCAGGCAACAGACCACACCTTCCTTCAGAAGTGCCACTATCACCATGGAAACAACCCGCTGTATGCCAGGCCAAAGATGCCACTGCCAGAGTTCACCCTCAAACACTACGCTGGGAAGGTCACTTATCAGGTACATCTCTTTTCTTTCTTTCTTTCTTTCTTTCTTTCTTTCTTTCTTTCTTTCTTTCTTTTTCTTTTTCTCTTTCTTTTTCTCTTTCTCTCTCGCTTTTTCTTTCTTTCTCTTTCTCTCTTTCATTCTCTCTTTCTTTCTTTCTTTCTTTCTTTCTTTTTCTCTTTCTCTCTCTCTTTCTTTTTCGTTTTCTCTTTCTCTCTCTCTTTCATTCTTTCTTTCTTTCTTTCATTCTCTCTTTCTTTCTTTTTCGTTTTCTCTTTCTATCTCTCTTTCTTCCTTTCTTTCTCTCTTTCTTTCTTTCTCTCTTTCTTTTTCTCTTTCTCTCTCTCTTTCTCTCTTTCATTCTTTCTTTCTTTCTTTCATTCTCTCTTTCTGTCCTTCCTTCATCAACAGAATGGGGTTTACATTTATAAACGTCCATAAACTTCAGTTTTTCATTATAAATATTTCCATCTATTGTTTAAGTATGGACACTTCAGTTTTTACCTGCATTTAATTTAATGTTATTGTCTTTTTGCTTCCAACCTACAACCTCTCACTACTTATTCTTTTATGTCTTTAATGTCTTTTAAGGTTGAAAATATATTTTGCCAAAACATGTTGATAAATATGACCTGAAGCTGTGGGAATGATAAGCTCATGTGCCCACACAATCTCCAACACAGCTGGAAAAGACATATAACAATAAACAAGAAGAGGTTGGTTATGGTTTTCTGTCAGGTGTGATAAAAAATAATGAACAAAACCAACAATACTCCTTCCATTAACTAGAATTTGTTTCATTTTATGCAAATAGGATCCAGGCTCTCAAAACCAATCCATCTCTAATATTTTTGCATTTAGCTCTGACTGATTTTCGTCGGATAAATCACGTTTGATTTCCTTCTTTTCCTTCTATTTCCTCAAATAAAACTTTGTTTTCATTATCAAATTCATTAAAGTTCACTACCCTGGATTAATGTGCACATAGCTGTTATACTTGTGGTTGTCCTCTGTTTGAATTCAATATCAATATTTTGTTCAAACACTTTTCTGATGATTTATGATGCAGGTGAACAAATTCTTGGACAAGAACTTTGACATGGTCCGCCAGGAAGTTTTAGACATCTTCATCCAGAGCAAGAACAGAGTGAGATGTGCAAACACTGTTTTTATTTCTAACATTCCCCAATGTTTATTCTGTCATTGTAGTGAAAGAAAATGATTTTCAATCACAGTTAAATATTATGATTGTTGCTCATCATCTGTCTTCTGCATGCTACACCTCTTCTGTGTGTGTTGACTTGTGCCTTTTTTCTGTAGTATACAAGTGCTAACTACAGGTTTGAGCTAGAAAAATGTTTTTATTTGCCAGTCAGTTGACATTTTGTTGAATACTTTGTGTGTGTGTGTGTGTGTGTGTGTGTGTGTGTGTGTGTGTGTGTGTGTGTGTGTGTGTGTGTGTGTGTGTGTGTGTGTGTGTGTGTGTGTGCAGATGGTTTCCAGCCTATTCTTGAAGCAGTCAGAGTCTGTGTCTCAGCAGCGGTCTAATGTCCAACGCAGCAGCACAGCGCGTCGTTATCAGGCCAACACGGTCAGCGCTAAGTTTCAGAGCAGCCTGCAGGAGCTGCTGGAGAAGATGGAAAGGTTTGTTTAAATCATCACTCATTTAATCTTTAGGACAATGTAGAAACTTCTCTGACACACCACTGTAACATCAGTGGAACATGGTAAACTTGTGTTTGAAAGGTTTCCCTACTCAGCACATAAAAGTATTAAAATTACTCCCTCCAGCTCATTTGAGTGTCCAAAAGTGTAAAATCCATGTGCTACATAACTGTATATTTTTGCTCCTGAGAGGACAAGCATGTAAATTATATTTAGGTGACTTCGCACCTGTCCGTCACTGTAAGTGTCCGACATTTACTGTGAGATCCTGCAAGATACAGAGAGTGTGTATGACATGATGATCACTAAGGAATGAGTGACGGAAGGAGGGGTTTCATTCACAGCCCAAATCAATGACCCTTATCATATTATAGGCTTGTTCCTGAAACAGACAACGAGATCTGATCAATTTGTTTTGCCTTGGTGTTTCATTAGACTAAAGTGATTAGGGTGCAGCTCTGACAACGTCATGAGCCTCCGATGTCACTTGTTTCCTGGAGCCATTTCTCTTGGGAGGATGGATTTCATTTGCTCAATTTGAGCTTGATCGCACATGAAAACTGAGGCCTGTGGAAATCTCTCCGTCTGTAACAGTTTATATGTACTTTAAATTTTAAAACCACACCATGCGCTTCTGATTTCTACCCATAAAGTTGGTTTTACTCAGTTTCTAGTTTGAAAGTTGACTCCCTTGCACAGGACAAATATACTAAGCCTTTATCAAACAGCACTTTCATTCGCTCATTTATCCATCCGTTCATTCTCATCTATCTGTGACAGGTGTAACCCTTACTTTGTGCGATGCATCAAGCCAAACCATCATAAGGTATATTTGCACGTCGGATGGTGTGTGCAGGTTTGCTGTGGCTATTTGCATTTTGATTTATATGTAATCTTCAGCTCATGTGAATTATGTATATATATATATATTTGTGTGTGTGTGTGTGTGTGTGTGTGTGTGTGTGTGTGTGTGTGTGTGTGTGTGTAGGAGCCAGGAGTGTTTGACTTTGAGCTCGTCAGCACACAGCTGCATTACTCTGGTATCATGGAGACTATCCATATCAGGAGGGAGGGTTATCCAATCAGATTGCATTTTCACAGCTTCCTATCAAGGTGGGTGATTTAATCATTTTCACATTAAGCATACTGGAGTAGAAAAGTAAGCACTAATCGAACCGTGTAAGATAAAATATAGTACAGACTTTCTCGGCCTGTTCAGCTCCTGTTATTTCCCCATTACCACTCATCACTTTCAACTTGTCCAAATTGCTTGAATTATTGGCTTTTTTTTCTGGCGAGAGTTCAATTCACATACCAATTTCTTCATGCTGAAGTAGCCATCTGGCTCTTGCCATCTCCTGCACTAGGAAAGCAGCTGAAACCAATTGATCTCACAGCACCTCTGACCACTGGCTGCCAAAGTAGCCTAACTTATTACAAGAATTAATACCAGAGTCCAACATTCACAGTCAATTAGATTCACACTGAAACTACTAAACACAAACAAACTGTAAACTACCAGAACCCAGAAAACCATGAGTCTCAGTTAGCTTCATACCAGATCTCCCAGATTCACAGAGTAAAATCACATGTAACTTTGGATTTCATTGATCTTTCAGAATTCAAACTGAATTAACACATTAAGCATGTGTGTGTGTGTGTGTGTGTGTGTGTGTGTGTGTGGTCTTGTATGTGCACACAGGTATAAGGCCCTGCTCTGCATGAAGGATCTTCCACCTGCAGACGGAGAGAACTGTGTCATCATGCTCCACAGGCTCGGCCCGGTAAAGACCGGCTCGTTTCAGCTGGGAGTCAGTAAGGTGAGCTCTCTCAGTAACTGATGCTCACACACACACACACACACACACACACACACACACACATAAAAAATGCCTTAGGAATGTTGCATGCATTAGGAATATATGCTGTTGAATTTAGATTTGTGTGTGTGTGTGTGTGTGTGTGTGTGTGTGTGTGTGTGTGTGTGTGTGTGTATGTGTGTTAGATTTTCCTGAAAGAGGAGATGTATCAGCTGTTGGAGGGGAAGCGTGACCGTGTGCTGAACATTGCCGCCATGACGCTGCAGAGATACACTCGAATATGTTTTATCCGAAAGAACTATGTCAAGTTCAGGCGGCGCGTGATCCTGTTTGAAGCTCGCTGCAGAGGCTACGTGGCCAGGTAATGTTCACCTGAGAAGGTCAGCTGCTAGCATGCACTCACGAGTCTTAGATTTAATGGCTCGTAACTTCTGTAAATAAAGCCAAATGTTTTATTTGATTACACATACTTACTGAAAAACCTGGAAATGATTCAGTTTTCCCAAGAAACATAGAAAACAGAGAAAAACTAGATTTATTTTCCTGATCATCAGTTGGTCAGTATCATCAGTCTCTTTCTGGAAGCTGACTCTTCAGAGCTTTAGCCTTCTTTAATGGACAGCACCCTGACCCGCCCGAGTCTGGAGTTTCAGTCCTGAGCGTGGTTGTCTAGGGTTTAGTGTTTGGTTTCACTGAGCCAAATAGGTCAAAGCTCATCGCAGACAACCTGCTTCTTTTGTCCTTGATGTGAGGCCACGCTCGCCCATCACGGGGTGATAGATTCCTTCTCTCACTGCCAGTCTGGTGATGCACAGTTCCAATTTATTCAGATCTGTAAAAAAAAAAATCACTTACTGGCTTAATGGGGACACTATAATGGCACTAAACTCAAGGTTAAACATTTTGAATCTGTAATGATATTTCATAGATCGCTGGTCACGGTTTGATGAGTCTGGGAAGTGGCAGATCATGAAAAACGTGAGCTGAAACTGTAACTGTCTCTATGGCTGTGATTAACGCAAACCTTCCGCTGTCCTTTTGAATTACAGTGATTGACAGTCTTTTATTGACGGTTATGAATCTTTCATGGAGGATATTTGGTTATAGGTTATTGAAAGTTTTGAGCAAATTTGTCCCTCACACTTGCTACCAATTCCTTCAACTTCTTTCTCCTACTTTCCATCTGTATCTGTATGAATAATACATGATCCTTGGTTAACACGTTTCCTGAACAGAAAAAAGTTTGCTCTGAGGAGGAAGTACCTCATCAGGTTCCGCTCTGCCGTGCTGCTCATCCTCAACCGCCAGCGTTACATGAGGGTATGTGCACAGTGTCTGTGTGTGTGTCTGTGTGTGTGCGTGTGAACAGGGATACTTGTGGGGAAGTTCCCGTATTTGTCCCAAAAAAAAATACTTAAAAATGAGCAAATGTGTGAAGTGTGATACTGTTGTCTTTCTGTCAGACAGTGGTGGAGCCTGCAAGGAAGGCGGAGGAGGTGAGTGAAGGAGGAAACAGTGTCAAAGTGCCTGAGAGGACGGAGGGACACATTATGAGTCGGAGAAGATGTTGTGTTTGTGTGTGATACAAGTGTTTGTATGTGTTTGCAATGTGTGTAGGATCGTATAAATAGAGAAGTGGTGAATGTGACAACACTGCCTATCCCTGCTGAGCTGGCAGCCCTGCTGCAGGCGGCCGCAGGTACACACACACACACACACACACACACACATTTACACACTCAGTCGGTGCTATAAATAAACTTCGATCAACAGATGTGTTCCACCTTGTTTGTAACAATATTTACTGTCGTATTTCTGTGATAACACATGGCCTGCTGCGTGTGTGTGTGTGTGTGTGTGTGTGTGTGTGGGTGTGTGTGTGTGTGTGTGTGTGTGTGTGTGGGTGTGTGTGTGTGTGTGTGTGTGTGTGTGTGTATTTGCAGGTGGTGAAGAGCTTCATTCTGACTGCTTGGCTGTGGTCCAGGCTCCAAAGGTTCAGGTTGACCCTCAGCTGACCCTGCCCCTAGACATCAACAACTACCTCATGACACACTACATCCGGGCCATATTTAGGGTAAATAAACAAACACACACACACACACACACACACACACACACACATAAAAACACAGGGTCTACATGTAAAACTGCATGAACAAAACATAAATTAACCTTTGTGAACTTCAGAGGACCCAGCACGATGGTGTTGTAGTATTTGTCCACTACTGTTAACTGTTGTTGTGTATGATCATTTGTAAGTACTGTGTGTGTGTGTGTGTGTGTGTGTGTGTGTGTTTGTGTGTGTGTGTGTGTGTTGTAGGAGCCATTGTTCGGGATGCTGACAGCTCCACTGGACAGTTCTCTGATTAGACTGGACGAGGAGCTAAAACAAGGAGCCCTGAATGTTTTCATTCTGGTAAATGTTACATTCATACAGTAATATGTATTAAAAGTACATATGTACAGTGTTTGTTTTTTTTTATCTTGCTGCCATATTCGTTGGATCAAAACCTCAATGCTTATGTACAAACACATAAAGAATCACTTATTGACATTATTCTCACAGTGAGATGTGTCGGCATATTGTGAGTAGGTCTTTCTCAGACAAAGGACCCTGTAGAAGAACCTTCAGGTCACAGTATGTGTTGTGAATCACTACATGTGATTTTGGCAGATACTTAGGTTCATGGGTGATCCTAACCTGAATGGGGCTCAGGAGAATCTGTTTGGGAACTACATCATCCAGAGAGGACTGGCCAATCCCAGCCTCCGAGATGAGATCCTGGCTCAGATAGCCAATCAGGTGACACCGTTTTCATTTCTTTGAACCAGTGGAATAGAAATGAAAGCTAAGAGAAGGCAGCTTATTTCACTAGAACTCAACCAAGTTCTCTATAAATTCATTTTGTCTCCTCTTTTCTATTAGGTGTGGAGGAATCCTAACATTTTGAATTCAGAGCGTGGTTGGCTCCTCCTCTCCTCTTGTCTCTCTGCCTTCCTGCCTTCTCAAAGACTGGCCAAGTATCTGCTGAAGTAAGTAAACATGCTGGCATTTATGAAAACAGAAAACTATCCAGTGCGTGTTAATATAACAGCATTGACAACAATTTAAGTCTTTCCAGCATTTGACTTTTCCTGCACGCCTGTGGCCGTTTGCACGTGTTTTCAGTAGCTGCAGTGTAAATATTTCTGTTTGTGTCTCTGTTTGTGCTTGTTGTTGCTGTAGGTTCGTTTCTGACTATGGGCCGGGGGGCTACAACTGCGTGTGTCAGCACCGTCTGCTTCAGGCTCTGCAGCGGCTGAATTTCGGGCCAGAGCACGTCCGGACGTACCCACCCTGTCTGCTGGAGTGGACCGCCAATCGCAAGAAAGCTCACACTGTCCTGCACATACACTGCTTCGATGGTGCGAACACACAGACACATGCCTGGAGTAGACAAAGATTTAACTGATTTTAAATCCCTGAACTGGTTTGATCAAAGTACTGCCTGATCTCTCACTCTCTCTCTGATGGAAAAGCATTAATTTACAGTAAGCAAAAGTCACAAGTCTTTATGGTTAAATTAAGGTTAAATAAAACTGTTATAAAAACAGATATAAATGCACAGAGGAATAAACCTACAACTTAAACAACTTAGAGCAAACTCTTTTTAATTTGTATCTGCTCTTGTATTGCATTTATCTTCAAATGTTGACATAACACATGTCTAAATCACAGGCTGCATCACTGTGGAAAGCTTTAATAAATGTCCGAGTCAGAGGACTCCATTCTTCCATTTATACTGACTCCCTTTGACTCCGCTCGTTGACCCAGCCTCACCTCTGTACCTGAGCCCAGCACAGCAGAGTTTCTGTCTCTCTCTCATTTCTCCCTCTCATCCAGCTAATCTGTCCTCTGTGTCCACCGAGGATTAGACAACATCTGATACCCGCTCTGGGTCACGAGCTGTGTTTGTGTCCGTTGGTGCCGGTGTCTGTGAGAATCTTCATAGACAGTCTGGGAAAGGAGCTGCCGACTTTGTTTCAGAGATACAGCTGAAACTGATTTCATTGTTAATGCCTTTCAAGATGAAAGAACACACATCATTTTGATATTTGCAGTGTGTTCTTTGCCCTTTAGGTTTGTCCCTCCTCTGTCCTCTGCACTCCTGGACAACTGGAGAAGAGATGGCCAAAGACATCTTACAACACAGGTATCATCTTACTGGGAAACATGAGCACTAAATTTGTATTTGTATTTGTCTGTCTATTATTGTATTTTGTATGTGTGTGTGTTTAGGGGTGTAGTGGAGGGCCGTCAAGGCTGGTCGGTGCTGCTGAAGGAGCCGGCCCAGTGGGTGGAGCTGGAGGGCTCAGACTTCGTTCTGGACTTGATGTCGGACCTGGAGCTCCCTGCCGACTTCCCCAAACACAGCAGCTACTTCATCATCTCTGCACAGGAACCAACCAGAGTGCGGCCCAATGCCAGCATGTGAGGCAAACACACACACACACACACACACACACACACACACACACACACACACACACACACACACACACACAAAACAAAAAAGAAACGCAACTTTTTGATAATTAATTATTGATTAATTCACATATAATTAATCCATACTATAAGCATTTGTGATTTTCATTTACAAATCATCAAGAGGCTTGCAACCCTCACCAAGAGGAGACGTCCATACACAGACACTAATTTAACTATATCGTTTTCAACATTTAAACATCTGGCTTTGACAAATATTCTGTAAATTATCACGTAGCGTCACACAGTGTAAAGCCAATGTAATGCACTCTATTAGCACTGGAGTGACCAAAAGTCACAAGTATTTAGAAAAGTAAGTTGAGGACTGTTTCTCTCTTTGTCTTTTCCTGCACTGTATCGACACACCAGCATTTAGCAGCTTAAGATTCAGATATTTCCCCAAAGAGTTTGGAGGAGATCAAAAGCAGTCACCTGGCGGTCAGAAACACGACTCCTAATGAATGATAATGTTGCTCCTTAACTGCTGGGTGTGTACATTGTTTATACGAATGAACTGTTTATAAGAAGCTCGCTATATCAACTGAAATGGTTGATGATATATCAATGTTGTGTTCACCACTTGTTTCCACTGCCCCCCAGTGGCCAAAAAGTCTGTTGTTGCAGGTTTAAGTAAATGATTGGAGTATTCCCTCCACCACTGCTTCGTTTACTGACGAAGAGGCTCCAGTTATTTGAATCTTTTTTTTTTTTTTCTTTCTGTTTTACAGCAGCCTGCTGGGTGGCGGGTTTGAAATACATGATGATGTCATATCTTCAGCCTTAACGTTCTCTGATGGACAAGGTACACATCAAAGCAAGCGTATGAATCCTCATACACGTTGATGTTGATCACAGCAGACCATGAAGTTTGGTTTCCTCCTCTCCTCAGACTCGGAGCCTCAGAGAGGGATGGATCGTTATCTCGACAGCCTGTTTGACCCTGTCCTGTCTGACGGAGCTGGAGTAAGTTACATAACTCACTCACGCTGACACACTTGAGCACACGAGAGGGGATGCCTCTGTACTACCGTTTGCTGTTGGTAACACTCTGTACAGCTCTATTTCTTAGGAGTGAATCTACATCATAATGAGGGTACACATTCAAATGCAGGCAGCCTAACTGAGGCACAGAGGAAGGAAATTAGTAAATACATTAAAGAAGAAAAAACATGTATAAACTAAAAACAAACAAAAATACTAATAATAATCATAATAAATTTAAGGAAAGGGAGAAGCGTTTTGTCATTCGTACGCTGAATAACAGAAACAAATACTTGACCAAAACTTACCTAAACTTATGAACATTATACAGGGGTCACAGCTTTGCCAATGAGAGAGACCAGATACAGTCGTTTCTACGGGTCCGGCTCCTTTTTCCAGGCTTCCTCAGCCCGGTGATCAGTATTTCAGGGATTCTCAGTATCATGTAGTCGAAGCACAGGTCCTAGATTTTGTAGAATAAGAAAGGTTAGTCCTTCAGAGCGGAAGAGGAAACCCCAAATGGAGTAATACTTGTTAAAGTTTTCAGGTAATGATTCAAATAAGCTGCTTTATCTGTAATCCAGAAACTCCACCGGACGTTTTAGGCCACAGTGGAATAGAAGTCTGTATGTAGTAAAAGACAAAGCCTTGTTTTTCTAATTGCCTGTGTGAACACAAGCAGAATAAGCTATATGTCTGTTTCTCTTTAAAACAGTAGGATCCTCGTTCAGTTTGGGCAGAAGTATCTACGTCAGCTCATGTAGGATGCATTACCTCCACGTTAAACATAACACTTCACTGTTCATAAAAATCCTGATTGCAGTAGCAGCAGATGATTGTTGGGTGAGTTAAATCCTTACGTGTTTAGTCAGGGCGATGGTGCAGTGAACGCTGGCCATGTTGGCTCTATCAGTCCTCAGCTGGGACGGCGACGTGGTGAATGTTAGCCGTGCTATCGGATGTGGCTGACAGGAATTAGCATGTATCAGATGTGTTCTACAGACCTCTGCCACCCAGCAACCTATTACGTTACCCAGTTACCGTAACTGTCACAGCGACGAGATCGCCACGGTGATTTCCCACCCAGGCAACGCGCGGATCTGCTTACCAGGAACTGACACTCTGGCAAATGAAGGGCTTACTATTTAATGAGACATGGCCTACAAACACACACTCCAGTGGATTTATGGGTCAGTGGCTGATTTCTGATGGAGCGGCTGCACACTCAAGAGGGAGGAATTTCTCTGATCTGACAGCCCAAAGTCCTCTCATTACACAAATATTATTCACATATTTTATCTCTCCGCGACAAACTGCGGAGCACAAATGCAGTGAATAAATAAATAATGTGCCTAAAATCCTTTTAGTATCAAATATTTACTGGTAAAAAAACAGTCTTCAAACGACCAGAGACGCTTCTCAAACCGCTGCAGCAGCATAATCATCTTCTGTGCCAGTGATCCGTGTGTTTATTATGTTCAAAACACATTTCCACATTTTTATAGTAAATGGGTGACTACCATGTTGCACTGTTGATCAGCCAAACAATTGCATATCTAGCAATTTATAAGCAAAGTGATGATTTTCTTTTTGGAACATACTGAACATACGGATCAACCGCAGAGAAATAGATGACGCTACAGGAGTGGTTTGGACATTTTGATACTTGCCATCATTGTCTATTGAAACTGCTAAACCCAAGCTGAACACAATGAATGTATATGTATGAATGAAATCAATAAATACAAACAAATATGATCAGACATTTGATGCTAGTGTGACAGTTTTGGATATTCAGTGCTACAGACAGATTTCCATCAGTGCCAAAACAGTAAAGAGGTTTGACACCCAGCTCCCAGCTTAGGACGAGTCCTAATGCATCCGTGTTGTGATCGGATTTTCAGTTTTAAAGTCTTGTCTCTCTTCACAGGAAGTAGAATTGGCTGCAGGACTTTCCAGCAGGATGAAGGGAGCCGGGGGAGTCGGAGGGGGGTGGCAACAGCAGGGGCAGTCCTCTGGCCCCCCACCACCACCTGGAGGTCAGTCACAAACACAGGCTGTATCCAGAATGACTCCCTCGTTCGTTCATTCATTATTCTCACTGTAGTGACTATAGTAAATCTTTTCCTTAGATGTAGTGCGCTTTATAGCTCTACATACAACCACAGACACACACTGACGCTCTGGAAGAACCTCCCTTTCTCCAGAAATGATTAGCAAGTGCAGTAAAGCAGAAACACTTGTCACTGCATGTGCGTGTTTGTGTGTCCACAGCTGTGAGAGTCCTTCCTGTGGGAGGTGTGATGTCGCCTCCTGTTGCTACGGTTGCACCTGTAACACCTGGTTCGTATCAAGTGTGAAAAGAAATATGAGGAGTAAAAAAAACTCAACAAACACAATTCCCCATCCCTGTGTCTTGTTAACTGTGTTTCTCCTCCTCTCTCCTCCAGATGCTCAGCAGGCTGTTTTGGCCCAGCAGCAGCAGGCGATCGTGAACCAGCAGGCCATTATCATGGTAAACCCCCCTGTCAGGATCTGCCTCTGTTGATCTGTTCCACCGCTCTTGTTTTGGATTTCATGCGTCACTTTCTTGTCTCTCAGGCGCAGCAGATGACCATGCAGGCCATGGTCATGTCAAGCCCTCCAACCTCCCCGATCACAAGCCCTCCCATGAGCCCTCTGCTCCACCACCCTCCCAGCCCGTACGCCCCCGCCAGCCCCTATACGGTCATACCTCCAAGTCCGTACGCTAACATCCCACCCAGCCCCTACGCCAACTTCACTCCCACTCCCTACGCTGCAGCAGACATCCCACCAAGCCCCTATCCTCCCACTGCTCAACCAGAACAAACTCCATCACAGCCTCAAGCGCAGCCTCCCACTGAGCTCCAGACTCAGCCCCAAGCTCAGCCTCAGCCTCAGGCCACCCACCCCATCCCCAAACCTCAGCCAAGCTCTGCTAAAACTAACAAAACTGAGCCAGCACAGCCAAAAGCTAACCCTGCTGCACAGGTCAGTAACTCTGAGACATGCGAGAAAACAGTCCAAACGGACATGGTGCATAATGATTCAGTACTGCCAAGTTTATGAAAGATGTTGCGTTTGTTGTTGTAAACTTCAGCCAACAGGCGCAGCTTAGTTAAGAGAATGATCTTTTTGTGGAAAGAATAAAGGGTTTATTTGAAAGAAAAATAAGAACTGTGTATTTGAGATAATGAGCAGCAGCTGGTTGAACAAAATAAAGCAAATCCTACATAAAACGCATCAACAGAGAGATAAGAAGGATAAGAAGTGCGCTCTTTTCTCAGCCTAATCATTCAAGGGAAAGCAAGTGTACTTGAAAGTGAGACGAAAATCACCAAACAGATGATAAACAGGACTGAGGACGTTACAGCTGTTACTGAATATGGTGCAAACTTCTCTTCATTTTTCAATCCAATATTTTTATTCAATAGTTTTGATTCAGATGACATTGTGATGTTTTCATACACACTGCACATTGTTTTTTGAGATCGTGCTACAGGTACATTTTATTTAAAGCATTTCAGTCGAACCATTTTAGTGACAAACCTGAACATTAACATGCAGTTCACTGCAACATGAATGAATCAATCCTCGCACCAAGGATGCCGACAAAATACAAATCATCATGCTGAACTGCAGATTATCACTTCCTCATATTTCTTTCCGTATGTCTGTTCTCTCTGTAACAAATGAAATGTGCTGAGTGTGTTCACCCCTTTCCCTTGCTCTGACATTAACCTTGTTGAAAGAGACAAAATTTAATATCTGGAGAAACCTTGTGTGAAAAACGCTGTGACTTTTTCAGGTTCAGTCGGGTAAGGACAGCGTACCTCGGAGGAAGGCTCCAGGCGTCCCCATCGACAAGGACAAACCAGCCAGGAAGTTTGGTAAGAAGCAGAGAGAGAGCAAGAAACAGAAAGTGCCTTAAACGTAAACTCATATTTAAGAGAAAGCATAATTTGTTATTGCATGTGTTATTTTGTGTGTGTGTTTTAGCCCCAGTGGCGACGTCTCCGCCGCCCCCTGCTGGAGAGGTGGTGAAGTACTCAGCTCGGTCTTCAGAACACATCGTCCCCAGCCAAGACATTCAAGGTAGCTGAATTTAAAAGCATAAAATGATGAAGTCATGATCTATGAAATTGCTTTATACTGAATGATGGTCACGTAGTTGATAAACTTATTTGCTTTCAGCAGACACATTAGTTGGTATCTATGGATTTAAAACAGTGAGAGAGAAGATGATGCTTATATAATTTATTATATTTTAAAGAAATCATCAAAAGATACAACTCACCACCTCCACCACCAGATCCACTGCCACCTGGCAAGAGGTGAGATCTCACGCATGCATGCACACACACACACACACACACACACAGATGAGGAGTTAGCGCAGTAGATTTTTGCCTGTAAATACAGCACAGCAGTTGATGCTATCTTCAGTCACAGACTTAGCTGTACACACGACGATAACAAACCACCTACAGATACTGTCTGTGGTGTCATTGCTCGCAGTGAGCACACAGCACCAGAATGATTTTATTTACACACAAACAACACAAACACACAGGTTCGACATTTGTATTTGGAAAATCCTTCAGAATGTGCAATGTGCAGTGTTGACACTGACTGCATGTATTTAGGAGACCGGAGGGGAAGTTTAAGAAGAAGCAAACCCCTCGTGATGAAGCTTTACAGATCCTCAAACCCCAGATGGACAACCCTCCTGCTCCACAGGTAAACACATGCACACACACACACACACACACACACACACACACACACACACACACAGAAAAATGCTCAAACACACTGTCAAATATTTTTGTATAACAGTGACAGTTGAGTAACAGCTGTTGTGTCTGTCCAGCCCAAACGTCCTGTTACCCCCTCACCTTCTGCGTCTGCGATGAAAGAGGTGGGAGTCAAACCCACCAAGAGTATGAAGACAAGAGCGCCTGATCGTCCTCTCCCCAAACCCCCCCCAGGTACACACACATGCACTCCAAGTACACAGTTCACTCATCCACATATTCCAATGCAGATTCGGCTATATCACTTTGCTGTGTTAAAGGCATCCTGTGGAGGAAGGCTTAACAATTAATCGAAATATTATCAAAATCTCAATATGGCCAAATGCAATACCCAAATCACAGGAGCTGCATTTTTTTTTTTTGTGATAAAGGTTACAGAGACGCCCCAGCCTACTAATCATATTATCCACATGTAAAGGAACAAGCTTGTTGGATACAAGCCCAGACAAAAAGTCACATCATCATCATTTTTATATTTTTCCAGTGAAAATGAAATGCAGAAATGATAATTCCAACTGAAGTCATGAGTCATATCACAATATTTTTTTGCATATTGTTCAGCCGCACTGTAGAGCTTTCACAAGGCCAGTGTATGTACAATGAACAGCCTAAAAAATGATGCTGACTGCGTGTCCCACCTCATAATGAGCTTGAAACGCCGTTTTAACCGTTTCAAACCTTCTTCTTTTTTCTTGTCATTATCAAAAAACAAAACCAATCATATACAATTATGAGCTGTGTGTCACGGCCACTGCTGCTGCTCCAACTCACGACTGAGTTGCCAGGCTGCATCAACAAACGTGTTTTTAGAACACCTGCATGCACCTGTACCTTTGCCTCACGTCCGTCTCCTCCCAGAGGGAAGCAGGAGTGCACATACATCGAGAAAAGCAGTGAGAAGCCATCAAACTGTCCCAGAGCAAGACACCAAGTGAACATGTAGCATGCTCAGTTAATACAATCTCAATAAGCGTGTTGCGTAGAAAAAGACTGAAACTACAGTGTAATCTGATGCGTTTGATGCAGTTTCTCGAGAGCTCCCAGTGGAGACAGAGACCATCCAGACACAGCTTCATCAGAGCGCCAACGAAGAGCACTACACCTACACCAACGTCTCCTGGAGACTGTACCTCAGGAAGGAGGTGTGTACATACAGAAATGCACAACCACACAACTTTCAAATTGTTTTCTATTGTGAGTTGTTTTTTGTTTTTTTTTGTTTTGTTTTTTACAGGTTTTCTATCCCAAAGACAGCTTCAACAATCCTGTGGTGCTGGACCTCATTTTCAAACAAGTAACTTCAAATAAAGTTGAATTAATGGATAAGGATAAGGATGAATTTGTCCATATCCATGCTATCTTTTTTAATTAAATACATTTCTTAAATCATTGAATTTTTATATGTTTCACAAATTGTGCCCCATATTTTAGATTTTTCTGACAACAGAAAAAATCATAGAAAGATCAAACTAAATTATTTCTAACATCACCTCTCCTCTCCTCTTCTCTGTTCCCTCCCACAGATAGTGAATGACACTCTGTCAGAGGCGTGCGTTCGCATCACCCGGGATGAAAGGCAGAAAATGAAAGCTCTTTTCGGTAGTCTGTCTGTTCTTCCTGGAGACATGTTTTTTTTTCCTTTCTTTCTTTTTGCACTGTATGCTCTTATCCAAACACATCTCCTTGACATTCATGAGCTCATGTGTCTGTGTGAATGGCAGCGAAACATGGAGTTGAACAGAATATGGATCCAGTGGAGGAGCATGTGAAGAAAACTGTTGTGACCGCCGCCAGGGAAACCTGGGAAATATACTTCTCCCGGCTCTTCCCTGCCTCGGTGAGGGAGGGAGATCTTTAGAGGAACATAATTACTGAGTGTGTTACTTTCATTTTTATTAATCCTCTCTATGTTTACATGTGTCTATGTGTGTGTGTGTGTGTGTGTGTGTGTGTGTGCAGGGTAGTGTGGGAACAGGTGTGCAGGTGCTATCAGTGTCGCACAGCGGGATTAAGCTGTTGAAGACGGTGAAAAGCAGCGCTGCAGCTCCAGACTACTTCAGAGTCCGACGACCGTACACGTATGTGATGTTTTTTTTTTTTACATTTTTGTTGTTTGGATTACTATATACAGTAGTTGTGTCATATCAGTTGTTGTGACTGATCAGGTGAGTTTTCATTCACACATTTGCACATTGCAGTACATTTTTAATAAGGTTAATTATTGTTTTCTACTATTGCTGTTGGTGATGTGCTTTTATTTCATATCATACATATTACATTACCTTTAGGACTGTTATGACTTGTCATTTAAAGACTGTGATTGTTATAAATCCCACATTGTTAACTGTTAATGTGAATGTATATATGTGTGTGTGTCGCACTGTGTTTTTTCAGCTATGCAGATATCTTGTTTGTAACCATCCCGTCTGAGAACATGCTGGAGTTCAATCTGACCAATGAGAAGCTGATCCTTTTTTCAGCCAAGGCACCACAAGTCAAACACCTCATAGACACCTTCATCAGTGAGATCAAACGGGTACAGCACGCACACACACACACACACACTTTCCCTGTCCACAATTATGAAAACTTAAAGTTTAAAGAGGAAATTAACTCTAAAGTTAATTTGCTACACACACATCTACACACATCACTTCCAGTCCAATTTGAGGAAAAGAAAATAAAAGAAGGAAAAACTCCCCCAACGTTCTGTTGAGTTGAGTTTGAGAGAGAGTTTTTGGTGATACAGGAAATCAGCAGGCTTCGCGGAAAGTGTGAAAATGCAAAACCTACAAACACTTTAGATAAAACCTCATGTAACAGTGTGGCCGTTATGTATTTGTGCATTTCTTCTTCTTTCTTCCTCTCAGGACTCAAACTATGTGATTGCTGAACGTAACTTTGTCACAGACGACCACTCGATGCTCAATTTCCATAAAGGCGACATCATCAGGCTGCAGGTTATGGACGGGCTGGAGAAAGGTGACACACTGTACATGTAGTGGACATCCTGTTATCTCATGAGTGAATCTTTGATCTAAGTGTGTGTGTGTGTGTGTGTGTGTGTTTTGTCCTGTGTGTCTCCTCCAGGTTACAGCTACGGCTGTGTGGTGAGGAAGAAGGTGGTGTTTTTGGAGGAGCTGAAGAGAGACACTCAAGACTTTGGTGAGTGACCTGATTTAAAATCAGATCAGTCATCATCATGTTTCTTGCATGTGGTAACCAGGTGTTAGCATCACAGCCGAGGCCCTAAAATAAACAAGGTAACAATTCAAGCTGACAGCTTTGAGAGATTTACTAACCTGGACTGGGTCTGTGTACCCTGGAGGTATGGTAGTATTTTACGTCAAGGAGAAATAGGTGCGGTGATGTTGACATTGCCTGCGGCGCTCTTTAAATACAATATTGTATCAGAAAATTATTTTCCTGATGGAAGAGGGCGATGCAATTTGAAAAATATTGATTCATGTCACTTCTTGAGGACATGAAAGATGAAAAAGTGTCACAGATGAGGAGAAGTCACGTCAAACACATACTGGATAAGACAGAGACTCCGATGAAAATGCACCTGCATACATATTTGTAATTTGTTGTGTTATTTTTTTCTTTCAAGTCTGAAATTTGGACTCTGAATATAATGCCTATAACTGAACCTTATGCTTGGGTTGTCTGAATTTTGATCCATGCTCCATCATACGAGCTGATGAGATCTGTGATCATCTTTGATTGGATAAAAATGTTTTCCTGTATGAATCTTGATGGTATTCAGTGTGAATGTAAGATCTGAGAAGCATACGACATGGAATTTTACATCAAGTATTTGTGAAAAAAAAAAAAATCAAAGGATGCGTGAATAATAACAGTATATCAAATTTTGAGAACTCCCCTCCCATCTTGGGACAAACAGCTGGTTCCCACTATTTAAGGCACTTCAATCCAGTGAGGCGCAGCGCACCAAGCTTTAACCACAGCACTGACACATTATCACCTCATTAAGTTTGTATGGCATCATGTCGGCAAACAGTGGCCAATTTACACATTCAACAGACACAGAGAATTATTGGCATCAATTTGGAGTCATGGTTTTCTGCCTCATCTAATCAGTCCTTTACTTTTAGCTCTGTTTTGGCCCGACCAGCTCTGAGCTGTAGCTGCGAAATGCTCCACTGTGTTCACTGCTGTTTGGTGCTGGGCATGTAGTTCATAGTGGATTACCAGGTGCTAGTCTGTTGCAGGCTAGAAATGAGGTTGATGACAGTGAACCAAAACAGTAACAGCTCACTGTTTTGGTTTTCCAAAACAGTGAGCATAAAAGATGCTAAAACACTGCGTAGACCTGAGGGGAACTGCAGAGCCGGGTGATGAATTCACTGTGGATTCAGGGGGAGATTAGGCATGTAGAGGTTGTAGCTAATTAGGGTTACCCTTCAGGGAATTAAAGTAAGTCAATACGATGTCCTCACAAGTGACAGAAATAACCATGGGTATAGTATCTATGATTAAACCAGAGGCTGCATTATGTGGCAGGTCATCAGTATAGCTGTAGAGGAGAGTTAGGTCTTGTTAATGAGAAAGACAAGCGTGACGATAACAATCTGACTTTAAATGAAGGGCTGACCTGCTCTGAGAGACGGGGCTGATAGTGATCAGGACCTAAAGTGTTTTTTTAACCTTTATTTATTCAGTGTAGTTTCACTGAGAGGCAGCCTTCCTTTTACAAGAATGCCCTGATCACATTCACATACACACATTCACACCTGGAAGCTGCCCAGTACAGCGACAGTCCGACCTGCTGGCCACGGAGCAGCTCCACTGGTAATCAATTGGGGGTTAAGGGTCTTGCTCAAGGGCACCACAGTGGTGTTGATGAGGGTTGGATAAGTGCTGCTCTTTCACTTTCCCCACCCAGATTTAATCCTGCCAGTGCAGATATCGACCCGCTGACCTTCCAACCAGGTGTATGTGTGTGTTTGTATACCTGCATGTTGTAATCCCTCTGCTCTGTGTGTGTGTGTGTGTGTGTGTGTGTGTGTGTGTGTGTCAGGCTGGAAGTTTGGCGCCGTGTTCGGCCGCTCCGGTGCGTTCCCGGCTGAGTGCGTCCATCCTGTCGCTCCTCCTGACTTCCTGTCGCTGCCACTGGACCGTAAGTCGGAGCCTCGAGGAGGAGCGGGACAGTTTGCTGTGTCATCAGCCGTGGCTGTTGCCGTGGCGTCCACCATGGCTGCACATGAGATAGATCAAACGATTGAGGTACACAGGCACAGACACACATACACACACACACACACATGCAGATGTTTTTTTGTCTGTCAGTCAAACTTAACAGAGCGTCAGGTTGTTTTTCACTGTCAACCTTTGCCTTTCAGAAAGTTTCTCTTGATGGCTTTGCTGACGGAGATCTGGATGAGAGGGCCCTGCAGGACAGTAAATATGACATGTTGGAGTTTGCCAAGAAGTTTTTCAGACAGGCACCAAGCGGGAAGGGGTGAGACAATAAACAGGAGACAGTGATGAAATACATTTATGCCACTTTATACTCAAGGGTGAAATATTTTACTTTTCATTCCACTACATTTACTTAACAGCTTTGGTCAATAGTTATTTTGCAGATCAAAATTTTACATACAAAACATATCAGTAGATTATAAAATATGACATACCTTTACAATATAGATTAAACTTCCCAACACTGTATAAAGTAGTTAAAATCATCTCCAGCACAACCAACCTCAACTGAAGCTCATGTCAATCAGGAGAGACTTTTATTGCCATGTGCAAAACAAGAGAAGAAAAGTGATATGAGAGTCTTTGGCGATTAGACCCCATTGTGATGTCATCATATTTGAAAAGGGGGTTAGGCTGTGCGAAGTATAGGAGACCTGGATGTGATGTGGAGTGCACTCGAACTGGTACTGGATATGAAGACTGGAGGTGGATGGGGTGGAGGAAGGCTGCAACAATATGCACTCAAATTACAGCTGAGATTGTGGCAATATCTGATTGGTTACCGAAAACACCCGAAGTCAACTGATTACAAGAAGTGTGGTGAGAGAGCGAGAGAGCGACAGTGTTTTTATAGTGTGGCATCACTTCTTTTATTTAAGTATATTATTTCAATTCTTTTTCCAACACTGTAGAAATCTAAAAGCTTCACTTTGTGACTGATTTTGTTATTAGAGATTCCCTGAAGAGCAAAAGCAAGAGCAGAGACTCCAGGGAGCCCACTGAGATGATCAAGTTCTCCAAGGTGACTTTCGTGTTGGTCTAACTTAAAGCATCTTAACACTCTATCTTCTCACAGCTCCAGGTGCTTTTTGGGCCTATTAAGTTGTTGATATGATTTTCTCCATGTCAGACCCCGTTGACCGAGTCTCTGATAGAGTTCACCGATCCAGCCATGAACCGTGTGGCAGCTGATCTCTTCCTGTGTAAGTTCTCACCTTCTCTCCTCGTTGTATTACAACGCTCTTGTTACATCTGGGCTCCGATTCATCCTCTGTTAAAATGAGATGATTATGTATCAGATTGTAAGTGCTGTGAGGGAAACTAGAATCTTATCTACAAAGTCTGCTAATTAAAAAGAAACATTAGTGTTGACTGCTGTGTGTGTCTGGATGTGTATTTTGTGTAGTGGCGATGCGTTTCATGGGCGACTCGCCGCTGCGGGGACTGACAGAACAGGAAGTGGTCAGCACTTTCCTCAAGGTAAGTACACACACAGTTATTTTGTAGGCTATTTTCTCTTTGACAGTTGTCTAATGTGTGTGTGTATGTGTGTGTTTGTGTTTGTTTGTGTTTGTGTGTGTTTGTCCTCTTCTCAGCTCATAGGAGAGTTCACCTTGATGAGGGATGAGGCTTACTGCCAACTCCTCAAACAGCTTACAGCTAACACCAGCTCCAAACCGTAAGTCTACTTGCCACAAACATACACACTACAAACACACAACACGTCCCTTTGCTTCTCTCTCTCTCCTCTGAGCCTGCGAGTGTGTCTGTGATCTCTTCTTTCACACAGCGATAGTTGCCAACGAGGCTGGAGGCTACTGTACATCCTGACTGCGTACCATCGCAGCTCTGAAGTCCTCAAACCCTTCCTACTCAAATATCTGCAGCAGGCCTCTCGCAGCGCTGGGGCACAGTATCAGGGTAAAAAACACACACAAACACACACATTATCACAGAGTGTAAATGTGCTGTGCACATTACCAAAGCAGCTAGCATGTGATGTTTTTCTTTGAATGTGTCAGGCATAGCTAAAGCATGCGAGCAGAACCTGAAGAAGACGTTCCAGTATGGTGGCCGCGTCGTTCCACCCAACAGCATGGAGCTGAAGGCCATGATGGTCAGTGCACTGGTGGAGGAAGAATTCAGATCCTTTACTTAAATCAAACTAGTAATATCCACAGTGTAAAGATAAAGGTCCTGCCTTCATTCAAGTAAAGGAGCAGAAGTGTCATGAGATGTAAAGGCACCCATTATGCTGAATAGCCACATTCAGGGTATTGAATATTATGTATATTATGTTGTTATTATTATTATTATTAATGTAAGCAGCAAATAAATGCTGTAGCTGATCAAATTGAAGCTCATTTTTAAGGATAAGGCTGACGATATTCCCTTTTTTCTCTTATTGCCAACAAATCCCATGAATAGACCGAAACCAACAATAAATTAATTCTACTAACAAGTATTGTCTGCGCATCCAAAGCCTGATTTAGCTTATTCCTCTGTGCCACAGAGCTTCATTGTTGCCCAAAAACCATTAAAAACACATCAATGAGTCACAGTGTTGCAGAGAATATGCACGGGGTGACATGTTCTTTCATTGTGATCAGCCACCCAACCGCTGCAGCCTGGAAATAGTCTGCAATAAATGCGCTGTGTGCTCCTTTAGTGTCCAGCTGCTTAAGGAAATGAAAAAAATATTTCTATTTAGGAAGCAGACGGCTCGGGGCTGAGGACCACAGACAGAGCAGGGAAGTGGAACTCTTTATTGATTTTGTTCTTTTTGTAGGATTTGTTGACAATAAGAAAACCATAGTATATCTCCATTCTTATCATTGAACTACTTTACATAACACAAGTCTATAATAATGAATCATATTTACTAGCAGAATCTCAAGTTATCTCAAAGTTTTACAGTAGCTGCACTTAGATTATTAAGACTTAGTTATTTTACACCACTGTGTATGTAGGTTTTGGAGTGTTAAGCTGCCGTAATACAACATTCCCAGTGTATGTACAATCTATATATCACATGAGTGTGTGTCTGTACCTCCTCAGGCGGGACGAAGCTCAAAACGTCAGCTGTTTCTCTTTCCTGGAGGCATCGAACGTCACGTGAAAATCAAGACATGCTCTGTAGGTGTTCACTTGCTGTTCCCCAGTAAAGTTATCTATGATGAGAACTGGGTCCTCATAGACATGTGTGTTCATACTGTTGTTGTGTTTTTCAGGTCGCCCTGGAGGTGATTGAGGAGCTGTGCTATGAGATGGGTTTACACAGACTGGAGGCCATGGAAGAATATGCCATATTTTTAGTCACCAACAGAGGTGTGCCTACACACATCTAGTTCTGCCTCTCTGTCACACACACACACACACACACACACACACACACACACACACACACACACACACACACGATTAATGAAGTGAGTCAACTCTTCTTCTTGCCAGTGAAGCAGCTCCACTAACGGATCACATCAGACTGTTGAATGGTTTCTAGCTGTGGGCCAAAGTCACTCATGTTCATGAGTCCTGATAGTGCTGACAAAATAATGAGAGATTTCTGATAGATACCACAACACTGAGTCTCTGCCAATAAAAATTACCACAACACACATTTACCTCTTTATTATCTACTGATGTATAATAGTAAATAACAATAATAATAATGAGACATGATGCACACATTTTCAAATACTTACATCCCATAAGTGAATAAATGAAGGAACCTGCTTGTGCCTCCTCATTTCTTCCAACTAAGTTTGTAGCTCCATCTTTTTTAATTGGTGCTTGTTGCTGTTTGTTATAATCCTCTGCATGACACCTCAGCTTGTTCTGCTTTATCAGGCTTTCAGTGTTGAAAGCTCCAGCACTGATTTCGCTCAGATAGCACACTTTGCATTCTGTTGTTGTTTTCTTCCTCCTTTGGCATTAAATATCTCCACATGATAACAGCTGTCAGCTGCTCTTGCATCTATGCTATTCAGAAACACAGCAGGTTGCACAACATGTGATTATACAAATATTAACATGATTTTTCAGGGTTTGTATGTCAGTAGTTTGTATTGGGCTGTCACTTTTTCTGGAGTATGTGTCAGATACTGACCCTGAGCATTGGACTGATAATCCTGCCTAGTAACAAATATGAATTCTTGATCTGAGTACGTATCATATTCACATCTCTGTGTAATAAATAATCTTATATTTGTGTGTGTGTCCAGGTCAGAGTGTGCGTCCTCTGAACAAACACGAGTACATCCTGGATGTTGCAACAGAGGCCGAGTTAGTCGACACCAACTTCAGTTTTTGGTTCAGACGAGTCGTCTGGACTCAGCCGCTCAAGTTTGAAAATGAGCTTTGTGTCGCGATGCATTATAACCAGGTACGACAGGTTACGTTTCACACACATGCAATCTATCTGTTGTATACATGCCTGTATGTGTATTTAATATGTATGTATGTTTGTGTGTATATGCAGATCCTGCCGGACTACCGTAAAGGCCTGCTCAATGTTCTTCCACATGGAAAAGTGAGCGATCAGCAGTTTCACCAGATCACCAAACTGGCAGCTTTGCAACACAGAGCCAAAGACGTCATCTTCATCCCCAGCATGTGAGGAAAAATGGTTTAGGTGTTCTCTCTATTCAGCCTCAAAGTAGATTGTTTTAAAGTTTAGTCTCCAATTTCAGTGATCAAATGATAGAATAATATGAAATAGTCAAAGTTTTTTAAATACAAAATATTGTCATCGTTTTACTTTATTAATCAAATCATCGCTTGGGTCCTAACCCCCAATTCACCAGAAACTTTAACTTTCTCAACTGTTAAAACTCTCATGTTGTTTCTTGCTCTTACTGTTGTTATCAGTCTCTGTGTCCACCCACGCACACAGAGCCAGCAGCAGAACAGAGCAGCTCACAGAGTCCTGGAAAATTGTTTTGAGAAAAACTGGAAATCACTGAGCGAAGCAGACTTGTGTTTATCTTAGATTGTGTTCCTGTTGCCCTCTCCCCCAGACACGAATTATCGGAGTACATCGCCACGCCTCTGTTCAAAAAGCAGCCACCCCAGCAGTGGGTTACCATGGTGACGCAGCACATGCAGCAAGTACAGACCCTGAATCCGCACCAGGCCAGAGCACAGTTTCTGGGTGAGATCTCTGTTCACATTAAGAGGAAGCAACGCAGGTTAAAAAAGGGGATTCTTCATGCGGATCATCTGTATCTTCTGCACCATGAGTGGACAATATAGATAAAGTACACTGTACATGTACTTTTATATTGCAATATATATATTGTGATATGGTATATTTTCAGAAAAATAATTGAATTTCTTTGAAATTTTAGGAAAAGGATAAAAACTATAAGTTTTTTTTAGTTAGTCAAACAAAATAAATACCCAACAACTGCAGTTTATCTCATCAATGCAAAAATCATTTTAAAAAATCCAGTATTGTCCTTCTTTCTAATTTTTTAAAAAACAAACAAACAAACAAACAAAAATAACAACAAAAAGGTATTGTTCAATAACAATAACTAACTCAAAAATTCATATTAATAAGTTTCCAAGGGTATTTGATAAAACATGAAGATAAATATATTAACAACACAAACAAACAAAGGATTTAACAACATACAGCAAACTCTCTCAGCTACTGAATCAGCTATTTCCATTAAATCCAACAAGTTACTCTAAACTATAAAATTCATTTCCTTAAATTACACAGGAACACAGGTTAACAATTCTCGGAACCACACTGATGCAGAGGGACTTTCTAAAACAGTATGATAGATTTATTGGCTGCCATTGTTATTCTGTGAAATGTTTTGATACTATTGGTCAGGGATGTTGGGAAGCTCCTCAATAACCAGGAGACATTATATCCCTGTACGGGCTGAGTCGTGCTGAACTTGATGTGTAAAATTGTTGGACTGTCCCTTTAATAAAGTCAGGTTTTTTTGTCCTGTTCATGTAGTGCTTCCTGTCGCACAGTAAAAAAGTGACAATCTGTGCTGACTCTTAAATTCTGTGTATGGGTGGGTGTGCGCAGGCCTGGTCAGTGCGTTCCCCATGTTCGGATCCTCGTTCTTCTACATCCACAGCAGCAGCTCCACCACCTTCTACGCCCCCTGTATTGTTGCTGTCAATCAACATGGTCTCCACTTCCTGCACAAAAATACACACGTAAGGAGCCAGACACACACACACACACACGATCGACAGGCAATGATATGACTCAGCTCATCGTGACTGAAACATGAGCACAGAAGTAGAGTTACATAGCTGCAGTACACAGAAGTGTGTTGTAATGTTTGGACTCTGTGGCGCAGGAAACGATGGCAGTGGTCCCCCTGGTGGAGGTGCAGTCCAGCCGCACCCAGAGGCCCACTGCTGGAGCCAGTTACCCGTATGTAGACCTCAGCCTGGGGGACATGAACACACAGCGGGTCATTCAGTTGCAGCTGGAGCAGGTATTACGCAAACAACACAAACAAGGACACAGTTCAGAGGCCACATGTAACCATTTTCAGTGGAGTCGGCGTGTTTCGGTCTCTGTGCTGATGCCGGTTGTGTTTGTCCACAGGGCCTGGAGTTGTGTCGTGTCATCGCCATGCAGGTGGAAAACATGATGTCAGTGCGGGAGAAGAGGCTCACCCTGCCACCCAGTGAAATCACCATGTTATAACACATGCTCATGCTTCATTGTACGCACACACTTGTATAAACATACACACACATACATGTAGATGAAACCTGTAAAAATAGCCTACCTCTTCTTGCCTTCAGGTGTTTGTTGTGTGTAGCTCACACACATAGACATTAATATTATATGTGAATACATAAGTGTACTGTACTGCATATACTGAACAAAGTGCTACCTAGAAACCGTGAATGTTGATATTGATTTATTTTTTCTCTTCAGGTTAACACTTTGATAATTGCACTTACTCCTGTATTTTTAGTTTATTTAACATTAAATAGCTTTTATCTGTGTAGAAGCTGTTAATGGACCCTGAGGAAGCTTCACAGGCCTGTGCCTTGTCATTACAATGTTTTATAACTGACATGTTTTTTTATTTTTGTATTACTTCTGTTGACTGTAAAACTTGATGTTAGTGTAAACCATTGTTGTATTCAACCAATGTTAACGTATCAACTTGCTTATTTTGTACAAAACATTTTATCAAAATAAAATAAGCAATTTAAAGAGAGATATGAGCACTTCTACATTCAATTATTAAAATGATTAAACAATGTTAAAATCAAGTATTTGATTTTCAGCTGTATCCGTATAAAATTGCACGTATTAAATGCTTTGATAGGTATCAATAATTAAAATCAACATAGTTCATGAAATAATTATTTTAATGAACAGTGTCCCAGTTGGGTCAGCCTGTAAGTTTTTTTTTTCATTATTGATTATTTTTTCATTTAACAATCTAACTAATCGCTAAATGTATAAAATGCCAGAAATATTCAGATACAAGTGTAGATGACCTTATTTACATTTTTAATTATTATAAAATATGTATATACTATTTGCATAATTTTCTCTACACTGTAGATATTAAGTATATAAATAAAGTGCAAATGCAAATACAACAAGCACACACACACACACACACACCATGCCATATGCTGTATATACATGCTCACAAAAACATACACCTACAAACGATTTTTTTCTAATGATGAAGAGTCAATCAGACTGGAGAGACAGCAATCCTCAGCTAAGAACACACACACACACACACACACACACACACACACACAGGGTACTTTATTTACAGTTAACTGTCTATCATGTATTTATTTGTTAGTGTTTTTAATTTGTGTAAATGTATTCATTTTTTATTGTCCCGTACCTTGGCCCTTTTCATTCTGCCATGTGTTACAATATATGGTTAAAATGACAATAAAGCTTGATTTGATTTCTTATGATTACTTATTATTATTATTATTATTATTATTATTGTTATTACATATGCATAACCACAACCAGTAAAACTCGTTGGCCATTAAGTGTGAACTTTATGGAGGTAAATAAGAGGTTAGTGGGACAAAATTAGCAGTAGTCTGGCATGTCCCCTCAAGAATCCCAAACTAGGTTTTTGTGTCCTCCTATGGACGCCCAGGACACATGATAGTCCCGCCCCAAACTGGTAGGTCACCACTGAGCATGCGCAGACCTCTGGCAGGTTACACGAGTTTATTTTCAGCGATTTTGTTGGAGACGGGTCATGATGGTGTAAACTAACCGTGACCAAGCCTCGTGCCAAGATAACAATGTTTTTCCTGGACTCTTAAAACCTCAGTGGAAACGTCTCCGGTGAACCGAGGTTTGGAATTTCGCGGTGACATGTGAAATGTTGCTGCGTGGATTGTCGGTATTTCCAGGCGGCGACGGACAGACCAAGCCAGGCTAGTGTAGCTAACTAGCAGCTCGGCTAGCTCTCGTTAGCCTCTCCGCTGGCTGAGCGTGTTGTAGTGTTGACGCAGTGTTTATCGCGGCTTTGCTTGTTTGTAAGTGTCCGGTAATATCATCTACAGCCTCCTAAGTTTCACACCGGAGTGCTGTTTAAGTGCACAGACAGGGCAGCGGGGCAACTTGGCTAATGTTAGCTACTTTTGTGCGCTGTACACCGCTGTGAATGAGAGTGATTTGTCCCTTAAAATAGCACTATCCACCATCAAATAATCAGTTTGACATCCGGTCCGTTCACATTAAACCGACCCAGTTAAAACCGGTGCTGAAATGCAGCGCTGATACATGCTCTCTGTTTGCTAGGAGCTCACGTCGCACTACACCAGTCATATTGTTTTGGCTGACATGGCAGCCAGCGGATACTCTGACCTGAGGGAGAAGCTGAAATCCATGACACCACACAGAGACGAGTACAAAAATAAATACGTGGACGGGACGAGTAACGGCAGCGGGAAAGGTCGAAAGCGCAAGAATCGGGAGTCCGACGACGATGAATGTGAGTACAGCGATGACAGCGCGGAGCTCCGGGAGCAGGAGGCCCGCCGGGTGAGGAGCAGCATCCTACAGAAGAGCATCTTCACACCGGAGGAGTGCGCCCTCATCGAGGAGAAGATCGACGAGGTGGTCGCCAACGGAGAGGCTGGACTTTACCGAGAGCATACTGTAGACAGGGCACCCCTCCGTAACAAGTACTTCTTCGGGGAGGGGTACACGTATGGAGCCCAGCTGGAGAAGCGTGGACCGGGTCAGGAGAGGTTGTACCGGAAAGGAGAGGTGGACGAGATCCCGAGCTGGGTGCATGAGCTAGTGATCAAGCGGCTGGTGTCTAATGGAGTGATCCAAGAAGGGTTTGTCAACAGTGCAGTCATCAATGATTATCAGCCAGGTGGCTGCATTGTTTCACATGTTGATCCTCTGCACATCTTTGCACGACCCATTGTCTCAGTGTCCTTCTTCAGTGACAGTGCACTCTGCTTCGGCTGCCGCTTCCAGTTCAAACCAATCCGGGTGTCAGAGCCAGTGTTTGTGCTGCCTGTGAGGAGAGGCAGTGTCACAGTGCTCAGGTGATTTTGACTGTTTGCTTGCTCTCATGCACTGATTGAATTACTGTTTGTTCTGCAGCAGCTTAGGCCTGAAGTTCTTGTCATTAAGAGCTTTCTTTCTCTCTCTCTCTCTCTCTCTCTCTCTCTCACTCAGTGGCTACGCTGCAGATGACATCACCCATTGTATCCGGCCCCAAGACATCAAGGAACGGCGTGCCGTCATCATCCTTAGAAAGTGAGTCAGCATACTGTAATCCTAAAGATATGGCTGTTTTATAAAGTCTTGTACTAATCCACTTGTTTCCATTTGTGGTCCCTCCTCTGTTTGGCAGGACAAGACCTGATGCTCCTCGACTGGACTCTGACAGCCCTTTAAGCTCTTCCCCTGCAGAGAGACCCACTCCTCTGAAAGCCAAACGCTCTCATCGTAAAGCAGACCCTGATGCTGCTCACAGGTATAAATCACCACATACAGACAGTTCAGTGTGTCTGTATTCATGGGTCCAATAGAAATCTAAAGGCAAGAATCAAATGATCTACACACTGTACTGACAGCGCCCAGCAGTGTGCGGATCCTTTGTCTAATTCAGCACTTGTGGAAGGGTTTTTGGATGTGCATCCGTTACACCCTTTTTGTCCAATAAAAATATAACCATGGAAAACCTCCCTGATGTGCATAAATTGAATTAAAAGAGAACTGCGATCTGGAGAGGAACTGAGGACACTCAGACTCAGTCCAGAATAGACCTGAGGATAATTAGGCTTATCCAAAAAGTGTTCAACACAAGCAGATAGATATCCAACAAATAGAGACAGGACACCAAGACTGGTAGCAGTATGATGCGCCACTAATTAATGATGCACTTCATACTTCACACGCACTCCAAAAACACATTTTCTCCATCGATGGTTATGACTCATCACTTGGATCCACATTTGGCATTTGTCATAATGACATACAGAGCTAAAACCTGCAGAAGTAGAATGGTACACTACCTGGACCAGGTTATATATATAGTTTGGATCCAGCGAGTCGTTGGTTACCAGTCACCCTGATCCAAGTCCACATACCACAAGTCATGGTCCAGTGTGAGTCTGTCTTAAAGCTTCAGTCACAAATCCGTCCATGAAATTTGTTGCGGGAAGCAAGTTGAAAATAAAAACTCAGTGGATGGTGGGAGATCATCTTAGCAACTTACAGGATCGGAAAAAATGACATCAGACAGCTGTAAAGTAACAAAAACATGTGTGGCTGCGGTCTTTTCTGTTTTCCAAATTACCACTACCGAAGTAGTCCACGTAAAATCAACGAATGTGACGCGCAATAAATCCTCAAAGGCTTAAACCTCATTTTAAATGTTTACTGTGAAGTTAACATAACCCACTGTTCTCAACTCGGTCAAAAAACTCCGTTGCTCCCCAGACTAATTAACATTAACTGAGAGCGATTGACCATGACAACAACAGCATACGGCAAAATTTTACCTCCTGAAATAATTAACATTACCAACAACAAAATAGTGAAGCAGCGTACAGTCGCCATGTGATAAATGATGATCCAAATCTGACTTGATGTCTCTCTCCCCTCCACCAGGCCGAGGGTTCTGGAGATGGATAAAGAGGAGAACAGACATCCTTCACTCTCCCGTCATCGTCGTCACAGCGGCAGCTCAGAGAACTACTGGAGGCGTGGTCAGGACTACGACAAACACCGGGAGAGTTCAGGACGCAAAGTCAAAATGAGACGTCATTGAGCACTACTCACTCACACATGTACACATATAGATATACTCGTTCTTTTATGTATTTCAGTCTTGTAACATTCTTTGATCAGACATCATTTTCTCGCTCCAGTTTCTGTGTGGCACAAGGAGCACAGTCATCATGCCGTCTGCATTTTGATTTGAGTCTGGATCAGTTTGAGTGTATATTTGTTTTTGGCAGATGAAGCTGGAGTCTCTGCTGCACATTATAGAACCTCAAGTTACTTACTACAGTTAGAGTCTGTTGTTAAACTGTTCAGTTACCTTAAATTAAACATTTTTTGTTTCCATGTTCATAGATACTTCAAAATGGCATGTATTTTTTGTAACCAAGATGTACAGACCTTAAGAGCTAAAAGGAAGATGTACGTATGGACTTGTACAAAAGAAAACCTGAGCTGTAATCTAACTTGTTATAATGTACAATACGTTTGTATAGTCTTTGATTGGGGGAACTTTTATGCAGAATGAAACCTTTTATTTTTTTGTTGCACCTACATTTTTGATCCATATTTTACTGTGCCATCCCAGATCTTTGCTGTTTGTTCACTTCAGCCTCTCTGTTGCAATTTAAGTTGCAACAACCGGCGGATGTCCAATCATGCTTTCTGTGTTATGATTTGATTCAGCCACGTAGCTCCTCTTGGTGAAGGTCACAATATGGTGTATCAACTAAACTGATGCTGTATGGAGTGATGAAATACTCAGGCCTTGTGTTACACTCTTGTTTCAGGCTGAAGTTCCTTGACCTTATATAGTGACACACCATTGTTATTGCTGTTCTCTATTAAATCTAATTTTTCCTCATTCACATTGGGTGATATTTGGGTCAGTCAGAACTTAATTTGGGTAAAAACAACCCTGTTATGTCTTGTTTAACTTTGGTCTAAACATGTGACTAGGAAGAAATTCAATTTCCAGATGTATTTGTCCTTGTGGTTTGCTGTGTAAACACAGATAAATTTGTTTCTTGCTACCAGTCAGAGGTACTCATTAGCTGACTACTAGGTTTGTCTAGAGTCGCACATGAACAAAAATAACCTCTGTTCAGAGGAGAAATAACTTTCTAAAAACAGAGTGGTGTTCATGGTTTTCTGAAGCTCCGCTACAGTTGTGAACTTGAACATCTTAAAGTTAAAAGTAATGGTCTGCAAGAACCAAACACTGGAGTTCTTCTGACAGAGAATGGTACACTGACTTTGTGGGCAGTGGTGGCGCGTTAAGTGGTTTAATGGGTTTCAGTGGTCACATTTTTGACTCAGATGGTGCTGGCTGATTGGAATAAAGCTGAAATTGTCTCTACAGAGTTGATTTGCCATTCATTAAAGCAGTTACCCATCTACTAAGCTTGCTATTTAAGGATCAGGCACAGGAACAACACATCAGTGTTTCTTCTATTGCCGGAAGCCACAAATGTCGCTCCATCAATTGCTTATAAATGCAATGGCTTCACCTGACCAGTATAGCTTATTTAGACGGTGTGTAAGACATGACATTAAGTGGACACATTTTATAACCTGTTTTAAAAGACTAAGCAGTGTCAGGTTTGTTGTATGTTATGCTTTTAGTTCACAATTACAATATTATTTCCCATAAAGAAATGTTCAAGTTTGTTTATAAAATGTGTCCAGCTGGCCACAACCCAAGAATATATCTGCAACAAACGCAGTATAGACTGTATATTATCTCTGGTATGTTGCAGGTTTTCTGTCTGGCGTTGGGTCCCCTGGATCTCCAAATTGATCACAGATTTCACAAATCAATGGCCTCAGCTTAGAAACACTTCACTGAGTGAAAAAATGTTTTCATGTATTTTCTGACAGTTGAATTTTTTTTTTTTTTTAACAGAGACCCAAAATAAACTCTAAATATTTTGTCAAACCATTTTGAGCAGTTGCTGAACTTGCAGTACAGCAGTGTCACTCAGGTTTTCATCCACATGGACAGTTTCTACCTACAGCATTGTTCTTTCATTGATGAATTTATCTTCACTACAGCACGTTCCATCAATAAGTTTCTTGGATCGTATTATTAAATTTCCACAAGAGTGGAGAATACAGTTTGTGTTGGGATCTTTGCTATTAAATGTTCTGATATTCCCTCAGTGGTATATTAGTTTGTATATTGTGTTGTCTTTTTAAAAATATTTTCAATTGCCCAATCAAAGTCAAAGTCAAAGTCAAGTGTATAAATCTCAGAGTTTAATTTTAAATTTTACAATTTTACAATGAAAAGTCAACATAATAGAAATAAATAAAGGGGAGGGAGAGAACCCTTTCACGTTACTATTCATTTTTTCATATTGAACACATTATTTTGCTTTTGAGTTTTGAATTAAACAATAATAAAATATTAAATATAGATAGATTTGGCTTTACCCATTGAACTATTATAATATCTTGGGTCCTGGCTATGTAAGAAGAAAAAATATATAGAGAGACTGGCAATCTTATTGGCAGCATGTTTGGAAAAGGGCTCCTGTGGTTGCAATTTATAGTTTATTATTGACCATGGAAACAATAGTTGAAAAAAAACAAAAAACAAACAACAACAACACACACACACACACACAGCTTTCGGTCACACTGTATGATCTTCACCAGCAGATGGAGTTTCCCCACAGATAATACATCTTTTATTTTGATATACTCAAAGATGTTTTATATGACAAATGAAAAAAGTGAAAAAGAAAAAGCTAAGCTAGCACAACATTGAGACTGTTATTCAGAGGACAGCAGGTGGGCTATACATGCAACAAACAAACATACAATTCAGCATAAATGGGAAATAAAGTTTCCAGTGATAAATGAATGGGTATTAAATGTTCTATTCCGTAATTCTGCTTTGGAAATTCAATTTGAAGCCAATAATAAACTCAACACGACAGCTTCAGACTTTGCCTCTATTTTTTCTGTGATTAGCAACTGCATGGTTCATTCCAGGAAACTTTCTTTGGAAACTTTCTTTATCTGGAAAAAAAAAAAAGTTATTCTCTTAGCTCCTGAGGTAGTAGCTGGGGGCGCTGCTGCACTTTAACATTGAGTGCCAACCGCAATTAATAGGAAGAAGAAGAAAACAGCAGCTGTTAGCTAGCTGGCTGAGTTATATTTAACCTATGGCAGTGAGCGACAGATAGTACGCTTTGTTGATTAAAAAAAAAAAAAAGGATCGAAAGACGTATTTAAACAAACGCTAATGGTTTGGGGTCAGACTACTATACTTCTCTCCGCACTGTGTGGTAAGTATATTTAACAGCAGAGTGAAGCTATAGCTGACTGCTAATGTAGCTAACTAACTAGCTGGACAGCTTCACTAGCTGACGTTAGCTGCTCGCAAGTGCTGGCAGCCGTTCATCTGTTTGCTGCCGAAGCTGCTGCTCTTCATGCTTAAAATACCTGACATTAAATTTGCCAGATTGGTCATGTTGGTTAGCTGTATGCACATCTGTTGTGTTACGTCATTAACTGTCATGTTACTTATCCCTGGCCTTCTGTAGGCTGTAGTCTCTATGGAAATACAGGAGAGGACGCGTTACCATCACAAGGGAAATAGTTAGCAGGTGAATGTTAAGATATATCTGTGGAGCTTGGCATGACAGCAGTCCAGTCAGGAAGATGACATGTTTTTATATTGCAAGATAGGTTGAAAAATACCTATGTTTGAGGTCTCAGTAGGACCTTGTTGTTGTGTCGCAGTGCTACCAGTAAGCTTTGGTCAGTAATCATAGTCATAAAGTCATAAAATAGTAAAATAACTACCCAAAAAAAACTTCCCAGAGCCCAAGATGAGGTCAACACAGTTCTTGTGTTGTTCGCACACACTCTGTATTTTGAATTTATATTAAAATTTCACCATATTCTTTTTCTTTTTCTTTTTAATTTTATTACGCTAAACCTGCCTTGCCTGGTGCTCGGACCCAAGATCATCACTCTATTTTACTGATGTAATTGTAATGTGACAATAAATTTGCTTTGATTTGCTTTGATTTAATCGATTCAGCATCAGTGCAGTATACCTCAAACACAAAAGAATATAGTCTAAACAGAACATTTTTATTTATGATTCCTTTATTGCTATCCCATGTAGAGAGGCTGCCTGTCCCCTCATTGACAGTAACAACCTGGTAGTGTATGATGCTGCTGATACTACAAATCACTGCTGTACTGAAATATTTGGGATATTTTGAGCTAAATCAGCACATGCTTGAAATGCACCATTGTGCAGATTGGAAACAACAAATAGCATATTAGGTAATAGCATTATTGACTGACTGATCTATATGTTTATCAGTTGCTCTGTTTGTAGCTACAATCAGCTCAACCAACGTTGGGTAACATCTGTCAACATCACATGTTCGTTGCCTTTTCCCTGATGGTAATGTAACTAACATGAAACAGAAAAGTGAACTCTGCTATGATGTTGAACGTGTCACCTTAGTACTGTACGTGCTGTTGTGCTGTAACTTGACGAGGAAGGTTGTTATATATTTGACCCATCCAGTGTGACTCAGGCATGTATTGGCTCTATAAATAGACCATATCTCCATTCTTGGGACCCTGTACCTTTGGCAAGGAGAGCTGACATGCACTCTTTTGAAATGGCATGGAGAGATGTCCTGTGGCTGTTTCTGGGTCTCAGGTGCCAGGAGCTAAATATGATAAGCACAGCGTACACATTCACTTTTGTGCAAAAATAAAAGAACCGGTATCGCACATACACACACATTGTGTCTGCTGCAGAAATTAGGAAGTTAAAAGAATAGGTTCACAGTTTTCAGCTCAGATCAGGCTTTAGTTTTGAGAAATGTACGCCGCTGCTGCAGTTTCATACTGCCCTTCATCACAGGCCCTCTAGTCAGGCAGGCAGCTGTTCTATGAATAGGCCTTTGTCACCATAGACATTTTGACATGGCCCTGAAACAGAATCACAGGTGTAATTAATAACATTAAATGATGGCTGCCTTCCATTTGGCTGAATGCTTAATGAGAAGCACTGAAACAGAGTCGTTTTCAATTATATTAATTACACCTGTGATTTCCCTGCTATGATGTCAGAATATCTGCTGTTAAAACTTGAACAATTTCCTTTTCCAAAAGAAACAAGCCAACAGCATGGTATCCAACCCTGTTTTTAAAAGTGGAATAAATTATCCTGTGAGCTTCTTGCTTTTAAAAAGAAGGTTCATCATTCAAATCTCCTCGTATGTATTCAGCTGGGTTTAGAGCAGGTGACAGTGAAGGCCATAACAAATGATTCACATCATTTTCACACTAATCAAACTGTTCAATGAAAACTTTTGCCCGGTATAAAGGCATTTTTTCATTTGTTGCACTTCTCCACTTATCCAGCTTTGTCACCTGTCTGTACATGTTTTTAAATTATGCTGCTGGGAAAATTGTGTTATTGAATTTGTAAATTGGATTTTAAATGGAATAAAAATTCCATGTCAGTTTCTCTAATGAGTTATTCTCACTTTATAACACTCTTGCAGAAGTGCATTTGCCTTCCATGATTTGTAGAGATAAAGTATGCTGCTGGTAGAGGTCATTTCACTGCTACCTGACTGTCATGTCTTATGTTACTTTCTGCTCCCCTCAATTTATGCATTCTCTCTTCCCAAGGCTAACCACAAAGAAAAGGAAGCAATGAACTTCCAGGGTAGTCGGAGGCGAGGAGAGGATGGCATTGCCATGGTGATTGATTTCCTGCTGTCTAATGCCCGGCTGGTTCTGGGAGTTGGTGGGGCTGCCCTGCTCGGAATTGCTACACTGGCAGTGAAACGGGTGAGTGTTTTTTGAGGTTGTTAGTACC